AAAGGATATAGAAGAGGTTTTTCTGATGTTTCTAATGAGTATCATGCTGCTTGATATTGATTTACTGATGATCTATAGGTGGACAACCAAACTCAACCTTCCTCAAAATCAGGTCCATGGAGAAAGGTTAGTTCTTGTTATTGAAATTTTGTATGTTGTTGGTGTGCTATAGGAAGCTGCTGCAGTCGTGCCATTGTTAATTTAATTGGCATGATTTTTCCTATGTGGGCTCTTCAGTAGCCCATTTCTTCTTCTTTGAACCTTAAGTGATACATCGGGAGATTATTGGGGTTCTGTATGAAAGGCGTAATATGCTGTCATATGCACCTGTGTTTCTTTTTTCTTTTTTCCAGTTTTATGTTATCTATCTAGTATTTGTTTATTGCTCATCTACATTGGTTTCTGCATTTTATGAAACAATAAATATCTTGGACATAGAACATGCCATGTAATAAGAAAGGCCTTTGAATGGTTTGACTACCTTTCATTAGGTTAATTTGTTAGTTGTCTTTGGATCACTTTTGTTGATATGCTTGTAGCATGCTATTTATCGAACCCTAAACGTTGGTAGATGAATTGATTTACTTTAGATGAGACTAGAATATTACCCAGGTTTAGTAACATTAACTCTGAATACAAATACCTCTTCATTGGAATTTCTGAATCATCAGTGTTGATGAGGAACATGTACTTGTTTAAGTCTGGGTTTGTAATTTGATGTGTTATTTTCTGCAGATGCTGTCATCTAAAGATGTTAACTTTGTTGGTTACACATATAAGAACTTCGAAATTGTGAATGATGAGCAACTACCTGGAATTGGTTTGTACAATTTCATTATTGTATTTATTTCTTGCTGTTGTTTTGTTAAAACCATTTCTTCTCATTTTCATCATTTTCATTTTATAATAAGAAAATTCCTCTTTAATATATTGCATCCAATACTCTTAGATTCTTTTTCATCAGTAACATTTGTGAATCTTTGAAGGCGCTATGCTCTATCAATTTTGTTTCACTTCAACATTGTCAAATTGAGCTTCATATGTGTGGCAGAACATGTAATTTTTATTGCTAGGTGATGGAATACCTTTCTGAGTAGTGTACTGTGATAAACTTACACACACACTCTTCAACTGTAACTTATCTTAAATGTTCCAGATTGTGCACATACAGTACATAGTTTGTGCAAGTATATTTTACTTTCTATTAATTCACTGATAGGAACAAGGTATCTTATTAAGAAGAATTGGGGATGAATCCCAATTACAAAACACTCACTGCAGAACTTTGACGATCTGCATGTCCCAATGCCATAAATGCCCCAATTTCCTCTCACAAATCACCTTATCTTCCTCTCTAATCTCCCCTCTTATTTATAGGCAACAGGCCTTCTTCAAACTAACTCACTAATGTAAAAACTAATGGGTAACTTATTTTAACTAACTACTAATGAGTCTTCAACTAGCATGTCATAACTAATTACAAATAAGAGTTACCGCACATTAACCTACTGGTGTCTACTTTCTTAAGTTTTATCAACAGTTTTCAGCTTATTTAAACCCATTTTATGAAGGCCTTTAATGCAACATGTCTTCGGGAAAAAAAATTGGTGCAGCTTACTAAAGAAAGAAAAGTATGTGTGTTATTGCTACCCCTTTCAAATACCTTTATTACTTCCTTCCATTTACTGCAGTTGTGCAGTTCTTCTATTGCATTTGATGCTTATGAAGTATATATTGTATTCAGACCCCCCCCCCCCCCCAATTTATTGTTCTTTTCCTAATTGATCCATTATTGCATTGATCTTCACAAATAATTTGGATATGTGCTACCTTAACAGCTGAATTGAAGAAGAAGAGCACAAGAACTAAGCGACCATCTATTAAGAGCCTATTTGGTAAGCATATGCTTAATGTTTTGTGCCTTTTACCCACTACTTTATCAGTATCTTGATTGTTGATTTGCTTAAAGATCCTAGTGGTTCAGTTCACCTTTAAGTCAGGGTGTGATTGTTCACCTTTATCAGTATCTTGATTGTTGATTTGCTTAAAGATCCTAGTGGTTCAGTTCACCTTTAAGTCAGGCTTTGATACCAATGGCTCCTTCGTAGAACTATACATCCTTCTACATGGGATAACAGGGTAGCTTCTCATATCTCTAAAATTTTAGAAGATTAAATCTCTTTTATCTGGAGACAATTTAAAAATTAATGATAATAAAACATCACAAAAAAAGACTTGCGTTAACTCAAGTAATAGATCAGCGATCCTGGGAAAACATCAACAATATATGTTATACTACTGGCTTAAGGTAACTCTCATTGAATCATGGATCAAAGATAAAAAGAACTATGTAGAACTATTGGAATTGGAAATTCATGTTGCTTTGTACGATAAATCTATATCATTATTGATGTTTAACACTTAACTTCAGAGCAAAAAGCAAAGATATCTTGATTCTAGGGTTACATATAGAGAAACAACAGCTACTTAACATTGAAACACAAAAGGTAGAAAATTTTAACCGTCTTGTCATTAATAAGTGGGCTAATTATGTGCTACAGATGATGAATCGGCTACGGCTGCCAATCAACCTGTCCATGGGAGCTTCTTAAAACTCTTACCTACCCAACCTGAAGTTCCTGAGAAAAGTGAATCACAATGATCCAATCCAATAATATTTTACCAGATTTTTAGATGGCCATTGAGACAACCAAATGCCGGGTTGAATACTGATTGTTTTAGTCTTTCCCACATTCTTTTGTTAGTTTGGTGTGGATAGTTATGGGAGCGAAGGCTCTTAAACTTTGTGGTATTGGATAGATGGGTTTTGGGTTTACTGGGATATTTGTCTATGTAGAAAAATCTTTGAAGGTATATATTCTTTACATTTTTGTTTGGTGGTGTATTCTTTTGTTCACCATTTATCAAGCTGCAATGTGTTAAGTATCCAAGTTATTCTTGTAATCAAATTACTGCTGATGTGCTCACAAGGATGTGCTATTCTCACATTCTTTTACTATCATGTAGAGGTTCATTAGCTTGTAAGGTAACGTTTTCTTTCTTATCTAAATCCAACAAGTAATATTTACAAATCACACTTATCCTCACTTTCTTTTCTTTATTTGATGCCACGTTTTATTTTTGCGTTTTTCTCATTTCTTCATGATAAAATATGTATTACTACAAATTGTTAAGAAATGGAGATATGAAACAAAAGCCTGAAGTTCAGCCTATTAGTAATGCTTGTGTATGAAATTATTAACAAGCTCGTAAATAGATAGGAAGAGCGTGAATTGTTAGAATGAGGATTCGTGGGCAAATAAATAAAGGAAATGGAAACGTTGTACGGTAATATAGCTTGGAATTCTTACACTTCAAGTATCAGTTCCTTGTATTTCTGTGCTGCTGTATATTACTAAAGAAGTATTTAACATTGAATTGCAAGAAAAATAAACCATTTGCAATCTGTTGAACGAATCTCTGCCTGAAGTCTATTGAGGATGAGATATCAATTATCAATTGTTCAAATAATCAGATTTAAAACTAACTTGAACACTTTTAAAAGGAGTATTTTAGTCATGTCATTAATGACATGCCTGCAATAATATAATATTAACACTGTTATTAGTCACGAGCTTACGAGAAAAAGTAGAATGACAAATGACATTGATACAGTTATTTCACACTAACCACATAAATCTTCAAAAATGGGACTGAAAAATATTAGCTTGCTCCTTTTTTTTGTACAGATTTTTTCAATGACATATACATGTATTAATAAATATACATCAAGAACACTCTATTTAAATTATTTATTGTCACGTTAGATGTGCTGTATACTTTGAAATACAGAAGTTTCAAGACGTATACATGAATGTGCCTAATGTTAAAGATCACATAACCAAACATATAATTAGACATCGACTTACTGATAGATATGTCAATTCAATAATAAGAATACACAATACTAATAGAATTTTTTAAGTTAACACTTTAACATGTTTAGTTACACTAATGTGAGCTAAGTTTTGTATTAATAATCTATCTCAATCAGTATTTCTTTTTATTTGCTCTGTTTAACTCCATACGTTAAGCGAATAATACCTTGTAACAACTTGCTAATTCACGAGAGCATGTTAAAATATTAACAAACAATTATGTGTTGAACATTTCTACCATGTTAACAAATTATATAATTTTTTTATGCATTTATGTAGACTAAATTATGATTGAATTTGAACTAAATAATTTTATATAACTATTTGATGATTCATCGACTTACTTCTTGTTAACTAGAGTGATATAAATATCAATAAATTATTCAATGATTTTTGCTAATATATAATATTTTTTTGTTTAAAAACTTTAAATGATGAATTTTCATCTTTAATTAATTATTTATTTGGATTTTTACCGTAACCGAGTTATGGTAGAATAGTTTTTTATTTTATTTTTTAATAAACTATCATTCTAATAGAATTGTAACTCGATTTTGAAAACAAAACAAACATGCATTGAGAAAGGGATGTAACAACTTAATAGAAACACGAAAAGTGATAGCTCCACAACTATTGAGTTTAGAAAACAACCTATCCCTTAATTAGCCGTTTGCCCGTTTGTTACAATAGAATAGCGATTTGCGCATAGCCATTAAGATACACATGTCATAAGAAGGTGGTAAAATTAAAGTAGAATTATATATAAAATGGGATGAAATTATTATAATTTATAATAATGTAATAACAAATTACAAAACAAATCAATATAACAATAAGTATGACATTAAATCAAAACTTAACACGACCAATATATGAAAAAGACCCAGCAAAGCAAAGCAAAGGAAAAAAAAGGACCCAGCAAGGCAAAATCGTGGAAGGCAAAAGAAATCTTAATCATACAATAAAAAACACAGCCAAAGGTCCAAAGGCGTTTTATATAAAAAGTAAAATAAACAATAAAAGAATAATATAATATGGTAACACTAGTCGTCCATTTTCTTCCTCCTCCAACCTTATTACATCACCTTTTCTTTCTATTTTCTCTTTATCTCTCATCCCACATTCCCAATTTCTTTTCTTTTCTTTTGTTGGATTTCAAAATTTTCCTAGAAAATTCGCTACGTGTCCTGAAAGACAGATCCGAAAGGGGATGCTAAATCCATTACCTATATCCGGCTGAGAATATCGTACACCCATTATATTTCTCTTCCTTCTTCATCCACTTTCTACATTGTTGCTATCTTTCACTGTATTCACTATTGTAGAGCACAATATAGTTTATCTACTTACTGTTAGCTCTTTTCTCCGAAGAAGAGGAAAAGTAGGTTTTTTGATTGACCCCAGAATCGCGATTGTGCTTCGATTCACCGAGCAATGGGTGTTTTGTAGATTCTTGTTCTTGATCTTATTTTCATTGATCAAAAGTTCTTTTAACCTCTTTATTTATTTATTTTTGAGGTATTGAGATTAGCATAGCCTTAATTTTTGGGCCATTAAAGATTCTTTCGGATCTCTATGTTAATGTTAAATCTCATTGGATCTGAGATTATGCCGTATATAAAGAAAAATCGTTGATGAGACACTTGGAACAGGCCAAGTTCTTTTTTAATTGATTTATGTAGTAGAGTGTTTTTGTAATTTAGCAAGGATCGAGAGATTGAGTTTGTAATCATGGATCATGTTATTGGTGGAAAATTCAAGCTTGGGAGGAAGATTGGGAGTGGATCGTTTGGAGAACTTTATTTAGGTATTTACCTAATCGAGTCTTAGTTTGGTAGCATTGTTGACTTTAAATGATTTGGACTTGACACCTATATTGGTCTGCTGGTGCTTTTGTTTATTTCAGGTGTTAATGTACAAAGTGGAGAGGAAGTGGCTGTCAAGCTGGTGAGTGTAATTATTGAATTCTATTGGGTGTCTGGGAATGGTAAATGTTTGATATTTTATTTTTATTTTGTTTTTTATAGTGCATAGATGCATATTGTTGCTGTGGAAGTGGAGTGATTGGTATTCGCTATTTGTTGAACATTAGGCATATGTCATTAAGGCTAAGAATTTAGTAGCTGTGCTTTTGTTTTCTGGTTACTTGACCTTCAGCTGGGACCTAGGGGAATATTTGCAGATATTGTACTAATTTCTTGTGCTGCATGTTACTGAGACGTTACCTTTAGAAGAAAGAGAGTTTTAGGATAACTGTGAGCTGAAATTGTTGATGATGAAAAACTTAAAAAGGAGATTGGCAGATTCCTTTGTGACATACGACTTCAGTCAAAATCCCAGAGATACACTAATAAATTGTAAGGTCAAATGCTCTTTGTAGACATGATCAGATACTATTCAATAATTATAAATAATGTACCAAAATATGCATTATGTTGTATGATTATCAGACTCAATTTGTATATATATAGACAGAGGTGGAAAAAAACATTATATTATAAGATTTGATTTTTATACTTTATTTCCATGTTTCATACTTCAATATTAGTGCACATATGTTAAGCCAGCATCTTATTTTTTTGTTAGCTTGACCTTTTAAAAAACTGGTGATGTGTCTCAAAGTTAGTTTGCTTTAAATCTAAATGCAAGTCTTGCATTGTACTTTGTAACTTTTATTTTTGCTCATAGATTATTTGCTGTAGTATGTAATGTAATACAGGTATTTTGATCTGTAGTGTAATCAATGAATCAACCTTTGTTTTTTGATAATATGTTATGGCTATTTCAAAGTTAAGTTATTGCAGATTTTCATTTTCTTCCTCTGTTTATCAGGAATCTGTGAAGACCAAGCATCCCCAACTTCACTATGAGTCAAAATTGTATATGCTTCTTCAAGGGGGAAGTAAGTTTTCAGTTTCTAATGTATACTTATTTGACTTCTTTTCTCGTAGGCAAGAGCAAGACATGTTTTGTTTACTTTACTGTCATAAAGTAAAATTAGTCTATAAGCTTGTCTGAGTAGTGTATTCATTTTTTATTTTTCTTTTCTTTTTTGAAGCTGGTATTCCCCATCTAAAATGGTTTGGAGTTGAGGGTGACTACAATGTCATGGTTATTGACCTTCTTGGACCAAGTCTTGAAGACTTGTTTAATTATTGCAATAGGAAATTCTCCCTGAAAACAGTTCTGATGCTCGCAGATCAGCTTGTAAGTATGACTTTAATTCAAGAAACCCTTTAAACAGTCAACTGCTGTTTTTTACTTTTATCTTCAATTTGGTTTACCTAGATAAACAGAGTTGAGTACATGCACTCCCGGGGTTTTCTGCATCGTGATATAAAGCCTGACAACTTTTTAATGGGATTGGGCCGAAAGGCAAATCAGGTATCTTGTGTGTTTTATTTGAATTTAGCCTTATCTGGTTCAGTGTTTATGCGTCTTGTATTCTGAATTAGTTGCAGTTTTGATTCAAGATTATCATCAGAAGGTTTTATTCACATTAGTGGAAATATGGAGACTTCAATGTTGTTGTAAATTCCTAATAATCTGTAGTGTATGGTAGCCATTCGATGGTGTCAGCTTATTATTCAGAACTTGAATGCCATAAAAGTGTATATAAGCTTAACTTACTTTTTCATGCCTAATACCTATATAACATGGCTTTTATATTGTTATTATTTAATTAATCATAATCACATTTCTATTTCACAAAAAAAGAAAATCATATCATTCAGATGAAAAGGGAAAAAAATGTGAGGAGGATAAGGAATCCTCCTCAACAAAAGAACAAAACATAAAACAAACATGAAAAAAATGGAAGATTATTGTAACAAATTCCCTCAACAAATTTGTTAGAAAATAAACCTCATAAAAAGGCCACAAGCTTTGCACCAACAATGAATGGATGATCTGAAGTACAGATTCCTTGCCAAATTTGTACGATAATGATACACGCATAAGAGGAAAGAGCTTTATGTGTCTGTCAACCTGTTGGTATTAATCTTACTAAGTTGAACTAGTACGGATAAAACATTTAACCTTAGAGGGAGCTCCGGATTTCCACAACGGTTTATCACCAAAAAAAGTATTCCAATTCTATGAATGAGAGAGGAACTGAGAAAAATGATTTACATGATAATTACCTAGAATGATTAAGGAACCAAATCGTTTTATCTGGGTGAGAAGACAAAACCCGGACTCTGTAAAATCAGTGAATAGGAGAATTGTGTGAAAAATAATGATGTTAAGGGCTTGGAAAGACACAAGCAAAAGGAACATCTTCTATGCATAGGTCCTCTGAAAATTGAATGTAAGAACTGTTCCCCACCTTCATGGAGAGCAAAGACTTACAGGTAGAGTAGCCTTGAGAGATGAAATTCCAAGGACTAAAATAAGATGCTTGGATGCCAGTTATACTTGAGAGACAATAACTGAAATTTTCAAAATTTCTGACTTTTTATGCATTGTAGGTATACATAATTGATTATGGCCTTGCAAAAAAGTATCGGGATCTTCAGACACACAAGCATATTCCTTACAGGTAAATTTTGAGATTTTGTTGGGCATACACCCACAATGAATAATGATAACTGTGGGGCTGGCCTTGGGATTGCTAATAGTAACAGGTTTTCTAGGGGTAAACTGGTGGGTGCAACTTGAGTTTTACTATTTTTGGATCTGAAGCAAAATCCAAAATAATTTTCCAAAACTAAAAATCTGCACCTGCTGCATGATTGTGCTTGAAAACTCTGTACTTCATGTGTCATTCTCTAAACCCATATCTTTTAATATGAAAAATAATTATTGTCCTACACATTTCTGTTCTACTCTTTCCTGAATAGTCACGGTACTCTCTTTCCAGGGAAAACAAAAACCTCACTGGAACTGCTCGGTATGCAAGTGTTAATACTCATCTGGGAGTTGGTGAGTGAGGCTATTTGTTGCAGGCTTGCAGCTACTGATCAATAAGATTTTTTTTAATTTAAAAGGGATCTAAATTAATCATATATTGTCATGATCATATTTGCAGAACAAAGCAGAAGAGATGATCTAGAATCGCTTGGTTATGTGCTCATGTACTTTTTGAGAGGAAGGTTGATTGAAATGCTAGATTCTTTTTGATAAACAGAAAAGCTGCGATTCTTATCTCTACAATAATCTTTCGTATTGTATTTTAACATAGTTTGACAATTGTTTTCCAGTCTTCCATGGCAAGGCTTGAAAGCTGGCACTAAAAAGCAAAAGTATGACAAAATTAGTGAAAAGAAGATGCTTACACCGATAGAGGTATTATTGCTTGCTCTCTAGCAGCTTTTATATGAATGTATTGATGATTAGAATCATTGTTGTTTATTCATTTAGGAGGAATACTTTTTTTTTTCCTGATTTAATTGTCAGTAGAATTTGTTTACTACTGCTATTTTTCTGAATCATGTTTATATTTTTCATTAACTAAGTACAATTTATTGAGCAATGAATTAATTCTTTTTCAATGTTCATCTGTTGCAAATAATTTATTGTAAGAGTTTCTAAAACAGGTCTTATGCAAGTCATATCCATCAGAATTCACATCATACTTCCATTATTGCCGATCGTTGCGATTTGAAGATAAGCCTGATTATTCTTATCTTAAAAGACTTTTTCGTGACCTGTTCATCCGAGAAGGTTAACTTTGTGTAAATAAACCTTAAAGGTCTTGCTAACTAGTCCCATGAGGCATTGGTTAAGGAATCAATAATAAAGTTTTAATTAAAAATCATGGTGAGTGCACTAATAACACTTTTTAATAAAAAAAATTTCACTTTTTATTCCTTAACCAAAGCTCTAAGGGTACTGGTTAGCATTGGCAAACTTAAATGTTTTATTGTGAAAGTTTTTTCAGGCTTTGAAATCTTGCTATTACAGGCTATCAATTTGACTATGTATTTGATTGGACTATATTGAAATATCCACAAATTGGATCCAGTTCCAGAGCCCGAGTGAGTACTTCTTAATAATTGTGATCTTCATTTGTGTACAGACACTTGTGGTTTCGTTTTTTTTTTTTTCCTATCAGAAGTAGAGGTTCTTATATTTTTATCCCCTTTCTTTTTGGTTCAACAGACAAGTGGGAAACCAGTTATAAGCCCAGGACCATTTGGAGAGAGAATAGAACGACCTTCAGGTTTTTTCCTTCTACAGCAAGATGTGAAATCTGTTTTTTTTTTTTTTTCTAACTGTAGCAATTAATGCTATGCTGATGAATAGTTTGGTTTTCTTGTATATTCATAATCCTTAAATTTTATTTATTATTCTTTATGTCCATGTGCTTTATTCTTATCATTCATTTTGAAATGGACTATTTTCACTTGTTTTAAAAATTTGTGCATGTAAATTGTGCGGACAAAAGTAGTGTATTATTTCAGTTTACAGACTGCATGAAAAATAATTTCATCAACTAAGGAATTTATACCTATATTTTAGGGGGACCAGAGATTCGGGATAGATACTCTGGTGCAGTTGAGGTATTTGCAAGAAGGAATGGCTCTGGGCTTGGTCTGTATGGTGATCATTCTAGGCATAGGTCTTCAGATGATATACCATCCTCCAAAGACGTGGTTAGTAGCCTTAGTCAATATTTTCTTTATGTATGAATTGCTTTGAACTTCATTACAAGACTGCTTATACTTCTTTACATTTTGTTACCCAACATCTGTCCTTTCTAGCGAGCTGATTCTGAGAGGCCTCGTAGCTCTTCTCGTAACGGGAGTTCCTCAAAAAAGCATGTCTTGTCAAGCAGCCGACCTAGCTCTTCTGGTGAGCCTAGCGAAAGCCGTTCCAGTCGATTGGTCTCCAGCAGTGGCCGGCTATCTACAACTCAGAGAATTCAACCAGGTTTTGAGTCCAAAACATCATTTACTCGGGCTTCAGGGACAAAAGGGGGTCGCGATGATACACTAAAGAGCTTTGAACTCCTGTCAATTGGTACAGGAAAAAGGAAATGAAGAACTGTGTGGTCAGTAGACTTCTTGCGTCAAGGGTCTTAGTTCTGCCCTGATACTTCCCTTTGAGATGTCCATACTTGTTGATTACTCTGTATATTTCCATCCAATGTTGGGTCCTTTAAAGGCTAAAGCTCATTGAAATTTCTTCATGGAGCTATGGCAGACTCCTCTTAAACCTCTTCGGATGTTCGTCCATGATTATTTCAACATGGACCCGTACGTGAAGAGACAGTTTGTTACTTATGGAAGTTGTTAATATATGGCTACTTGTAATAAACACATTCTCTATTTTTCTGGTGAAGAGAAGGAAAAGAAACTGCAAAAATGCTTTTGCAAGTTTTGCACCCTTTTTATGCATTTGTCATACCCGACTATTTTGTTATAATGTTCGTTGAGGGAGGGAATTGTTGGGCCCAATCATGAATAAGAGAAAAAAGAGATTGACGGGTTTTTAGCCAGTTTGACTGTGATGTGTGCTATTAGTCAAATGATTTAAAGCATTGCATAATGAGCAAAATTGCTCAAACTTCTAAAATAAAAGGTTTCGGCGTAATTAATTTTTTTTATTCTAATGATATCCCCATATTATTAGAATAATATGGAGTTGAAGAACTTGCAAGGGTAAGTCACATCCCTTGAACAATATTTTTAGACACTCCCATCAACATCTGATAAATGTAACTCTTAATCGTGTCGAGACAACATGTATCAAGTTCTAATGTAGCAACAAGTCACGTCACCAATTCTCCAAATCAAGTCATGCTTTGAAATCCTTCATCTCCGTTTGATTTGTCCAAGTGAACGAGGGATATTGAAGCTAATAAGAGATAACCAGTTGACCAAAAAAATGTTCAGTTGACAAACAAAAAACATGTTGAGAAATTATTAAACTCCGGATTTGAATCCTGATCGTGGTGCTTATGTTGTGGTAGCTCTCATCACTCAATAATCACTGCAAATATCTTAAAAAAGTTTTTTTTTTGTTGGTCATGTGATATATATATATATATAAGAACTACTTCTAAAAACATGCTTAATTTTTAATTGATATTTTTAGACTATTAATAGAACTTACACATATTTAGTTTTCATGTTATTAACAAATAACCATAAAATTTCTAATTTCATTAAAAGTAAAAACACTAAACCAAACCTTTGAAAAAATAGTTGTATCTTTTTTCCCACCTTAAAAAAATTCAAAATTATTCCTCTAAGTGAAGAAACGTTTAGCCATCGGTCACTGGGTCTCGGCAGTTTCAGTTGGTACCGTGCGCGTGCACCGCACACAGACAGAACAGATAAATACTAATCTCTACAGTTTTACCTTTTTTGTGTTTTCTCATTCATCACTACCGTTTCCATTACCTCTTCCTCTTTCTCATTCCTTTTTCAAACCTCGAAACCAAACAAGGGTTTTCTTTTCTCTTCTTTTTTAATTTTCCTTTTCTCCTCTATTTCAATTTTCACGCCTCAATTTTCTCGTCCCTTCAATAAAAAAATTTCGTCTTTGATTCTCAGCAAAACCATTTTTTTTTCTCCCGAGGATTAAATTTCCCTGTAATTTCCAGTCCTGGGGCGTGTTCGTTTTCTTCAAGTGTTCGAATGGAGCGAAGCAAAAGGAATCTCTGTGTTGTTATTCTCTCGTAGTTCATGGCTACCCATGATGGTTTTTGGCTGAAAGTTGCTAACTTGCTGACTCGGTTTTACTGACCCGAGTGGTAGAAGAAGGATAGGGGGAATAGTCGGAGTGATTACTGAAGAAGTGGGGTTTAGGGTTTTTGGCGTGGTTGTGAATTTGTGATTGAATTAGGGTTGTTGAGTGCATGAGAGGTAGAATTGCGTTGTGATGGATGTGGAGGAAACTGGGGAGTTGGTGTCTTTGGACCCAGATATGTTGCAGCTTCAGGAGGTGTCTCCTTTTGCACTGAAATCGAGTCCTTACGTTGCTGAGGAGCTATTCTCACAGTGGCTTTCGCTTCCAGATACTTGTCGCCTGGTACATGCCTAGTTGATTTGAACTGAACCAGTTATACTTTTCTATGAATGAATGATTTTGGCTGTTCACTTGACTAAGGGAGATGGGGCAGTGAGCTCTGTAGACTTGATTTTTTAACCCCCAAATTGAAAGTGCTTTTCTTTTGTTACTTGGGGCTTTCTGTTTGCAGAATTGAACTAAAATGTGACTAGATATGTTTTAAATTTGAAACGAAAAAACAAAAACAATTGTAAAGACAGAAAAGTTTTGTAATAGTAAAATAATCCTTTGAATAATAATTAAGTGTTGATTCCTAATCTGTTAATAACTTATCAATTCTATCCTACCAGAGCCTATGAATCCCTTGAGCTACATGATTGTAAATTTGGAATTAAAACATCATTTGAACTCATCTACTGTTCTGTATGTGCACTTTTGTGAATAACTTGTGGTTTTAGTATTCCTTTCCTTCCTCATAAAGCAGTTCTTTAGTGTAGTATACCAACCCCAAGTTAATTGCCACTTGACAGAGATTTCTGATTCTCTGATCGCATATTGGTACTATCCACTTTTACTCTTATAATTTAAACTCAATAAACGACCGTTTCCATCTCCTGGTTAATGCCTCGATGGAACTTTAAGAAGCCAATGTTTCCATCTCCATTTAAATGTTTTGAATGATAGAGCTCTGGCTATAATTCTGAGTTCTGGCTGTTTACTCCACCTTCAAGATGATTTCTGAGGCATTTAAAGTGATGAACTTTTAAAAAACTGAGCTTTAAATTTGTTACTTCTTGTGCATCTATCACTGGATATATTCATGTTCTGATAAACGATAATAGACAAACAACTGTTGCAGTTAAGGAATTGTTCAGCTCTTATGCTGATGTACTTTCATGCAAGAACATGTGAGAAGACTTCTAATGTTGATATTCTATCAATACTTTGGATACTGACTGTTGTAGTTTTTCATAAATCATTTTAAGCACTAGCATTTATCAAATGCCAATCGATAATGTTATTAGGATTTATTAGGTTTTCCAAGTGACAATGCTTTACTGGATGTGCCAATATCTAATAGAGTGTCTTTACTTTCCTAATTTATGAAGAGTAATTAAAGAATTGCTATATATTAGGTTCTGATTGGGACATCATCTGGACACTGAAGGAGTAATCTATTCAAATTAAGTTAAATTTAGATTTTTAAGAGCAATTCGTATGTACACATAAAATAAAAGTTATAACCTATAAGTAATAACTTGATAGAGATGTGTACCCTCAGTTTACAGAAAAGAATGATTCTTTATTGATAAAATCTAAGATTTTGACTCAGTTGAGTCAGTTCCAATAAGAAACTGAAATTGAATTTAGAAATGAAGATACAATATGGTTTCTAATCCTGGGTTTACAAGGGACCCAACCCAGTACACTCCAATTTCAGACTTTTTCTTAAACCTTTTTCCTGCCTTCTCCCTTGTTACATTTTATTTATAGGCTTAACTGTCCCACCTAACTAACTGCCTGTCAGTAATTATCCCTTGTTACAGCTTTTATTTCTCCTAATGTAAACCTATCTTACTGGGAGTCTATCATAACTTAACGAGAAAAAGTAGAAAGGTCTGTGTCAACTAGAAAAAAAAAAAGGAAAACCAATAAACATAACAGTGATGAATATAATGACTTCTGAAATATGACATTTTAAGTATAGTATCTATTGAGTCTATTGACAAATATTCAACACTTGATGCTTTCTTTTATTTCCTTTCTCTTAATCAATATTAGGTTAAGGGGTTACATTGCTCTTTGTAATTAACTATTTTATGTCCAAAATCTATTTAGGAAAATGAATCATGAGTCTTGTGTGCTGCCTGAAAGGCAATGTTTGGCCTGGCCTGGATTAAGTAAATAAGGGAAGAGTTGTCCTTTATGCTCATTAATAAAATAAATAATTTATACAGTTATACCAAATAGACTCTCCTCCAGTCAATGATGGATGAATATTCCTTGTGTTTCCATCACTCCTTGGTCTCTTTGAAAAATATTCTTATGCATTGTGGTAGAAGTGGAACACTCATGATTCACGCAAGGATGAATTTTGTGCTATCTGATTTTATAGAGTAAATTTTCTGTGAGAATCACGTGAAAGCACAAAATGGCATTTTACCCTAGATTCATTAAATGGTTGTTATAAAACTTTAAATAGCCATATGAAAGGAATAAAATGTCTGATGAATAATGTTAATTTACTAGCAAGGCTGTATGGAATTCCTAAATTGGGCAGTAATAGTTCAAAGAAGTTTTAATCTATTTTTTCAATTGCCATCTTCAAAACATCAGCATTATTCCTTGTATGCTTGTTTTTAAATTCTTCTATATTCTTCTTTGTCTTTTTTTCATCAAAGATATTTAATTTTTCCATTGACATGTTATGAACATAGGTTAAGTCATTGCTTGCTGATGCAAAGGCAGGAGCTCCTTTGAGTGCAGTTGAGAACTCAACAAATACAAATGCTCTGTTGAGTAACTCATTACCTTCCTTGTTTCCTGCTGGGAGTACACCACCACTTTCACCACGCAGTTCATCTGGTTCCCCACGTACCACGAAACAGAGAACTAGTCCTTCTTCATTAGGTTCTCCACTAAAATTAGCCAGTGAACCTGTAAGGGAAGTCATTCCTCAGGTATATGTTATTGTCTTAACGATTCTTTATTTTTTTCTGTAAACTTTTATTTATATCTAGAAAGGATTAATTCCTTGTTTTACTTTTATTAGCATTACTTTGAATGTGCTTGCAGTTCTACTTCAAAAATGGTCGTCCACCGCCAAATGAAATGAAAGAGCATTTTCTGTTTCAAATTGATAATCGATTCTATGGTCATTCAGATGGTCTGCAGTTACATGGTGAGAAGTTCTCACTGAGAATATGGTATTTGTGGGTTAATTAGTTCTATATTCCCAATTATGATGGATTCTTCTGAAGAAATTCTTGGTTTTTTTCAACCTTTGTTGGTAATTTATATTCTATATTGCAGATTTTAAGTCTGTTATGAAAGAGATCTGCAAACTTCCCTCATTTTTCTCCACTGCTCTTTTAAAAAAGATTGATGTCAATTTTACAGGAACCATAACAAGGTACCATATTTCTGTTTGGATCATTTCATTTATATAGATCAATAGCATCAAATGAAGCATTCTGAAATTTTATTAGCCCTAGCTCTAAATTTTTTATTTTTTTTTATGTGTGTGTGTGTTATTTCTGTTTAGTTATTTAATTGACAAGAAAATAGAGCTTCCAGATGTTTGCAGACACAGTAAGCTATTGAAAGGTGTTTACTTTCTGGGTGAATGGGTTATTGCTTCATAAGGGTTGGGCTGTTTAATGGATTTAAGTTTTTGTTTTTTGCATCCTTTCTCTTAAAGAAACAAAAATAAAATAAAATATAAACTTATTTTGAACCATTGCTTATATTCTAAATCACATCATTTATATTTGATAAAAATTTGTTATGTGTGCTTTGCGAACCTAGAGAAAGGACTACCCTTGTTGTGGATATGACTATTCTGTGATAGGTATTGTAGCATTCTTTAGGAGGACTCATTTAATAGGATTCACATTTTGTTCTTTCCATGCAATGTAGAAGTGAATTTATACAACTGAAGTTGGGAATTAGTTCCTGGTGATACTTTTGGACAACTCCATTTAGTACTATCATGTGCATAGCTTGGAGGAGTGTATGATGTGTCAAGAAAATTGGCTTTTCTAATTTCTTTGATTTTCCTTCCTCCATAAATAATACAAGCTCATTTACAACTAATGATTACAAATTAATTACAATTCCTAATTTATGGACTGATTGGTAGGTTGACAAATTAATACAATTAATAGGCTGATTCTGTTGATACAACATATAATAGGAAAGAAGAATAGTAACGGATTTCCTTATTAACATGATGCAGTTGTTGTTAATTTGTTCTTGAGACTGAAGTTTATTGCACTTCAACTAGTCATTTGATAGTTGCTCAGTCAGTGTTATGTATTTCATATCACTAACTAGTTGATAATGCAAAAGTAGATTACAACATCAACAACTAAGCCTTATCCCACTAGGTGAGATCGGCTACCTGAATTACATGATACTATTGAGTTCAGTCAAAAATCAAATTTTCAAAAGTTTAGTTGATTAGAAGGTCTCCTTTAATAACTTCATCTAAGATACTTTTGGGTCTTTCTTGACTACTTTTTACCAGGCTAAGTCATGCAATCTTCTCTCCTCACTTGTGTTTCCAAAGGTTTTCTCTGCACATGATCAAACTACCTTCGACGATTTTCAGTCATTTTATTTACTATAGATGCTACTTCAATATTCTCATGCATATTGTCATTTTTTATCCTGTCCTTTCTCATATGACCACTCATTCACTTATCCTGTCATTTCTCACATAAATTGCAAGAGTATATTGAGGAGAAAAATTCATGGCCTACTAGATATCGTTTGATCATAAAGTTGAATGTGCTTGTAAGATCCTTTTGATAGTTGTTAAGAGTTTACATTTTTATGGTTTTTTGGATGAATTGCAATTTGTCATTTTCAACACGTAGCTGGGTGATATGATATCACCCTCAGTTTTTTGGTGATTTTTATTATGATTGTTATTGTTGTGTCATATTTCTTTTATCTTAGTGGATCACATCTGACTTTCCTAGAAAAATGAATGATCAACTGATTAGATATATTTTACTTTGAAGCTGCTAGAGTACCTTTGATTTTGGTCTTACTCCCTACAGAACTCACACTTCTATTTCTTAACATATACCGTAGGGATCAATTTATTGACTATTGGATTCGGGGCAACATGTTAGCTATGGATTTAGCCACACAAATATATACCATATTGAAGCAACCATATCGATCATACCTTGTACAGGTTTGCTTTGTTTTGTATGATGTTATGCCCCTATTCCTATCTACTTTTTCTATTTGCAATATCAACATATTATTAAGGGCTTATTATAATATATATTTAAAATGTGTTTACATTTTCGATTTTGGTTGTAGGATGATTTCAAACCTGTCCTGAGGGAACTGTTGTCCACACATCCTGGATTGGAGTTTTTGCAAGGCACACCTGAATTTCAGGAAAGATATGGTATGATCACATTATTTAGATTGATAGTGTTGTGTTTTGAGTGTCTTTACACCTAGAATTGTGTTTTAGGTAAATCAATAGATCTCTTAGTTGCTAGTTTCACCTAAAAATTTTGGACCTTTTAATTCTGATTGGCAAGGTTGGAATGCCTGTATCATAATGTAATTGTTGTGCAAATTTCTAATTGAATGGCTGACAATAAGAATTTCTGATTAAGGTATGATTTCCTTTAGTTTTTCCTTTTCGTTTTCACTCTTTTCTTTTGGTGGCCATGATAGAATGCAGGCTATCTAAAATTCTTCTTTTAAAATAGTCATGATGTGAGGTGCATTTGTTGCATCCTATTTATAGAAGGACCAATTGCTAGAAAACCAAGGGAATAAAAACTGAAAAGACAAATTGTTGTTAACATGGCTACAAGAGTAAGGCATAGGTATGGGTGTGCTTAACTGTTCGCAACTAGATGCCTTTCAACTTTCTGATAGAACCATCAAGATTCATTTTAACAAGACTCATCTGCATTTGCTAGTTTGCTTACCAGGTGTAAGTAACTGGGTCCAAAAGTATCATTGTGTTCAAGGATGCTATGTGATTCAGGTTGCTGCTAAGGGAATTATGTTTATGATGTTAATATAATGTACAAAGTTATGCTGGTCCGAGTGGAAGGGGCTTAGATCCTTAAGCATGTCATCTTGGATCCAATCCAAGATCCATTGGTGTGGAAAATAAATACTGTTCAGAAGGTTCCCTGCTTTATCATCTTACTGTACCTTGGGTAATTAGTCTCTCAAACCTACATGGGAGTGTACTTTGAGAAGCCAAATAAACATAATTATAATTTGGGATAATGGTTTATGTTAGGATTTCAAGAGTCTTTATCCTGGATGGTATGTCATCATATATATAATTTGGGATTATGGCTTTAATTTCAAGAATTTTGCCTTACTGAAATTCAACATAAGAATTTCAAGTTTATAACATATTCTTGTTTACTATTCTTTTTCTACATGTGTTATCAAAAAAGTTCTCAGGGCATTTCTCACTGCTACATGTTTGTTCTAAAACAGCTGAGACTGTCATACATAGAATATTTTACTACATGAATAGATCGGGAAATGGTCGACTTACCCTGAGGGAATTGAAACGTGGGAACCTAATTGATGCAATGCAGCATGTAGATGAAGAAGAGGACATTAACAAAGTTCTGAGGTAAATGCTTTGAGCTGTAAAATCCACTAAATTTTATCAAAAGCATGCCCCTTCAGTTCTGGAAATTTCCTTCTCGGATGTGTTTGCATGAACTCCTAAAGAATAATGGCTTTGCCAAGAGAAAGTGATTTTGCTCCTTGCCATTTTTAATTGTTTTTTTGTTTGCTGCTCTTGTATTGTGAAAGTTAAAAAACATGAGAACATGGAAAATTATAAGTGCAGTATGCTGCCCAATCTTTACATATCTGAGAGAGCAATTCCCTTGAAACCATAGTAATCAATTCTAGATAGTAGTGTGGAGAGTTGACTCCAAAAACACTATAGCGGACAATGAGATGACTGCTATTCTGAAAATTTAAAATACACCAAATATAGATTATGCTACATGTATGTATGCTGAAGATTTCAAATTTCAATCATTTGGAGGGGTTCTCAGAAGTCAGAACTGAACAGAGAAGAAAAATAGAACAAAACAAAGTGGTCTCACTGGAAAAAGCCCACAACACAGATGATCTTATTGGAAAATGTGTGGGTCTTGCTGGAAATGAAGATGACTATAACTTGTCTGGATACAATGAACAGAGTAAGATTTTGGTTGGAAAGTAGCTTCTAATGCAAATGGATCAGAAAAGGAGATCGGCTATTGTGAAGATTGCTGGACGAAGTAGAAGTTGTCAAAGATGGTGAATAGGTGCACTTAGGGTTCAAGAGTAATGAGTTCGAATAATAAAATGACATGTAGAAATTGACAATATAAAGAGGGTGCAAAATCCCAAAATTACCTCCCTTAAAAGCCTTCTAATGTTATGAAAACAAGGGTAACTTTGACATTTCTATCGTGCATCAAATAGTGGCCACGCCAGACGTGATTTTCCACGATTGTGCTGTGCCAGCCGCTACACTGAACCATGATGCTATGCACTTGGAATAATAGTAGGGAGCTGCTCTGCCTCGATATTGTCTACTATGCTTGAAACAACCTAAGCATCTAAAAATTATGAAGAAAAATTTGGAAGTGTTAGAGATACTATATAAACATTTCAGATTGAACAAAAAACAATTGCCTCCAGCTTATGCCACAAACCTCAATTTGTTCTAACTGCTAGAGAAATAACAAGGAATATTTAGCTTTTTTGGTCTTGTTTGTTTCAGCTTTTTTATATGCAAAATCACTTATTTTGAAAAAGTAATCACTTTTCAAAATTTAGTATGTTCATTCAAACTTTTGGAAAAAAAATCTGAAGTTCAGATTTTTTAATATTTTGAGAAGCTATTATGAGTAGCTTCTGAGAAGAAAGTTGTAATTATAACTACCTTTTAAAATAAAGAGCTTGTTTGTTCAGTTTTTTCAAAATGAAAAATCATTTTTATTTTGACAAAAGTAACTTTTCAAAATTTTTAGTATATTTTTTTGAAGCTTTTGATAAAAATTAGAATCTGAAAAATAAAATTTGAGTATTTTCAGAAGGTTATTTTTTTAACTGTAATCAAACAAAAAAAAAGCTTCTGCTTATTATAAAATCTCTACAAAATAAATCACTATTTTATACATTCTTAAAATCACTTATTCTAAAAGTTTAACGAAATGGGCCCCAAAAGTAATTTTTATAATGGTAACCGAGCAAAAAGTAGCTTCTAGTCATTATAACTCTCCGAAAAATAAATCATGTTTTAATACATTATTGAATCCCTTCTTTTTTTTTGCACCTATATTCTTCTTACATGTTTTGCTTGGTCTATGTTCAGCTTTGAGTCATTTGATCTCAAAGATGTTGCAAGTCCATGATTGACTTTCATTTCCAATTTAGTTAGCTCCATATAATTCAAATTTTCTTTGTTTATGTTTGTGTTGCTTCATTAAAGCTCTTGTGGAATTTCAGGTACTTCTCATATGAGCATTTTTATGTCATTTACTGCAAATTTTGGGAGCTCGACACGGATCATGACTTTTTTATTGATAAAGAGAACCTTATTAAATATGGCAACCATTCTCTTACATATCGGATTGTTGATAGAATTTTTTCCCAGGTCTGTTGGTATTTTACATCTTTTCCTATGTGCCAAGTTTGAATTTACTGTGTGCAGCTGTAGCAAGCATTGTACTGAAAATTGAGTGTGTTTTGAACTATAAATTTTATGGATTGATTTGATTTTATTAAGAGATTTCTTTATTTGGAAAGATGTAAGATTGAAATTGATTTGGTTTTGAAATTCTTTTTATTTAAGTGTGTGTATCTAGAAATCCACTCAAACATTTTTGCCGTTATTAGTATACTCTGTATATTTTAGGGTAATGAAGTAAGTTACATAAGCAAAATGAGTTCCATTCGTTTTATTCATCCTTTCCTTTTTGGAATAATGACTTCCAAACATGAGAATTGATTATTTAATCAAATCAGTTCCATACTTTACTTTATTTTTGGTCTTATTTATGCTTAAACTGTCCAGGTTCCACGTAAATTTACCAGTAAAGTTGAAGGGAAGATGAACTACGAAGATTTTGTTTATTTTATACTTGCTGAGGAAGATAAGTCATCTGAACCTAGTCTAGAATACTGGTATACTTCCTACCTTTCTCAAATACTGTAGATCCTTAAGCAGCACAGAAAATAATACATCTTGGATGATAGTGGCAACATGGATCATAAATGAAAGCAAGTTGTTTTCGTTACATTTGACTTCTACTGAAAATTTTCTAATAATGATAATATGGACAAACTTGATGTTGATTTCTTTGCGTCTAAATATACCATTTCCCACTCTTCTGTTAAAAATATTTAATACTGACATCATGCTGTTTTACATAAATAGGTACTTCATCTTCATAGTGGTTCTTTCTTAGCTCTTTTGTTACAATACTTCATTTTCTTGATGCTCTTCTATCATATTGTAGTTATTTAGATGGTAATTTTGTTCAATCAGGATTCTTGAAATTTAACTAGGCATATAATACCTGTGTAATGATAATAATAAAATTTTATAAAATATTTTTTCAATATAGTAATAAAATGTTTGTTTTTATAATTATTTTAATATTTTTATTAGCTTTAAATGATTTTATAATAATATCATATATATTATAATTATGTGTGTTTTGTAAATGTTGATAAGTTTAAGCAAAATTTTAACAGATATTATAGATAGAAAAAATGCTCTAGCAAAAGTGCTGTAGATGATGTTGAGCATATTTTATTATAATATAGATGATGTGCAGTGTAATTTCAAGCATTATTTTTACTAAACCTAATCAATTTTAAAGTTGATATTCAATGCTGTACTAGTTTGTGTTGTATATACTAATTATTAAGGGCTAAACATTAAACACTCATGCACTTGGCCTGTCTAAGGACACTGATATACTACTTTCCATTTGCTACTGGTATGGGGTTAGATGCCAAGCATATATGTTCAACATAAGGGCACTTTGCTTTGGTGGTTCACATGTCTGAGGGTGCATTGTTTAAAGAATTGTTGAGTTATTTCTTAGTAAGTGAACTTGAGAGTATGGTACTCCCATGTTTTGGTTCAAGCTGTGAAAAGAGTCTGATTCTCTATTTAATGAGCCTTACTTGTATTTTCACAAGCCCCAGTAAATTTCAACTAATAGTAAGTAATGTTTTCAAGAGTGTTACTAACATTTCTTATGCATGACCAGCTGAGTGTCATATGTAGGAATTTACACATTTTGTGATGTCCTTTGATTTAATACATCTCATTTGCATAAACCTGTTGTCCATGCCCAGTTGACTTGAGTTATTGTTTTAGATTATTGGAACTTGCTGCGTGGTCAAAATTTATGGAGGGTTCCATATAGTTCTAAGATGTAGTTTTATTATCTCCGTGACATTTTGAGAATATCATGTTTTGCAATTTTTTCAACCAATTCCTCATATTTTAATAGAAACTCAAGATATATATTTTTTTAAATTTCTTGTAGGTTCAAATGCATTGATTTGGATGGAAATGGAGTGCTGACACCAAATGAAATGCAGTTCTTTTATGAGGAGCAGTTGCATCGCATGGAGTGCATGGCTCAAGAGCCTGTACTATTTGAAGATATATTGTGCCAGATTGTTGATATGATTGGACCAGAGGTCTTTGTTCTCGTTCATATATCTTGGTTTATTTCTTGTTTCTGATTCATTCAATATTATGGCAAGTCTTAACTGTCCTGTGTTTGCAGAATGAGGGATATATTACATTAAGAGATGTTAAAGGCAGCAAACTTTCTGGAAATGTTTTCAATATTCTTTTCAATCTAAACAAGTTTATCACTTTTGAGACTCGTGATCCATTTCTCATACGTCAGGTAGAAACAATTTTTAGTTTCTATATCACTATCAATGAAGGCTTTTAGCAATGTTTGCGGGTAACCTGATTACAAAGAGTGCAATTTGTTTAGGAACGTGAGGATCCAAATTTGACAGAGTGGGATCGTTTTGCGCATAGAGAGTATATTAGGCTTTCCATGGAAGAAGATGGTGAAGATATGTCAAATGCCAGTGGGGACGTCTGGGAAGAATCACTTGAGGCCCCATTCTGAGATTTATTAGGTAGCTTTCATACTGCTATATATTCATTTAATTAATTTTCTTTGCACCAGCAATTGGATGTTGATGTCTCTTCTAATGATATTATCATTCTCTAATTAAGCATCAATATTAGTAATCACATTTTATTCTTTTTTTTTTTTGTGTGGACTTTTTGTTATTAATTTCTTATATCATTTTGGTAATAAGTAATAACATTTAGCACCTTCACATGAGTTCACTCTCTTTATATTGAAACAACTTAATTCTATTGTATAATAATAATAATAATAATAATAATAATAATAATAATAATAAACGAATAAGTAATCAGGTTAATTGTGAGACACCATTATGTTAGTCTCATATTAAACTTTTCTTGTCAATGATTATGTTATGGATGTTAGATTCATGAGTCCCTACCTCAGCAATATTCTCCTTTTGGAGTAAGGCCGTGTACGTCTATCATCCCTAGGCTTCATTAAGTGGGACCTCATGCGTTCTTGCCTACATAAACCTTAAGCTTTTAGGAGAGTTGGCCTTTGAAATAATAATGGTGTTCTTTTATTGAGTCTAAAAGACTTTAAATCTTATTCTGAATTTAAAAGGAAGAGAAAGAGTGAGAGAGAACAACATAAGGATTTAACATAGTTCTGTACACGTTATATGTACCTATATCCATGGTTGCACTAGGGAAGTAGCTTTTATTTTGTATTTGAAAGCATTAATAGGTGTTACTAATATAGTAACAATAAGACAAAGGTCACTTAAGAATGAGCGATGTGAGACTTAATCAGATTACATAATACTAACAATTAATAAGCGATGTTGAACTTAATCAGACTATATAATACTAATAATTTTGTCACTTGGAGTCTAGTTCACAACAATTCCTTCTAAACAATGAGTGTATGCGTCACCTAGTGCAACACATTCATCGTCAATTATTTTCAAAGGTCAATTGAAACAATGCAAAGCTTTAACTTATTAGTTGTAATAGTCTTGATCAACATATCAGCAAAATGCTCTGTTCCTGAGATCTTTAATAAAGAAAAATCTTCATCCCTTATCAAATTTTTCACAAAATGATACTTCATATTAATATGCTTGCATCTAGAATGAAAGACTTGATGACTGTCACTAAATAATAAAGAATCATCTTGTTCTTTCTAATTTTTTTAGAAAATTCTTTAGCTATATTTTTTCCTTGGATGCTTCTGAGATAGTCACATATTCGGTTTCACTGGTTGAGAGTGCACCTCTACTTTGAAGTTTAGACTTTCAACTTAGAGACATACCATCCATGATAAAAATGTAACCTTTGGTGCTTTTGCTGCCATCTAAATCTCTTTCCAAATTTGCATTGGAGAATCCCTATAAGGTGATATTGTGTTTGCTAAAGCAATAATACACTCGTAAAATGCCCTTTAGATATCTCAGTATCCCTTTCACACATTCTCATTGCTCCTTTATAGGATTTGATAGGAATCTATTGACAACTGTCATTACATGTGCTATGCTGGGTTTTGTACGCAATAGCATATATTAGGTTATCTGCTGATGATACATATGGTACTTTGTCTTGACATGTAACTTTCTTCTTCAGCTGTCTGTGATGATTCCCTCTTTGAAAACTTAAAGTGAGTTTCCAATGGGTTATTTCCAACATTAAATCTATCAAACAATTTTGCCATGTATTTTTCTTAGAATGTTTTCAAAATACCTTCTGATCCATATCTCAAGATTCTCGTACTAAGAATTTATTTGGCTAGACTAAGATCCTTCATTTCAAACTTTCATCTTTTAACCTGCTAATATATGTCATACTGGACCCTGTAATCAAAATGTCATTATTAGATAAAGTAAGTATAACATAATTATCCGTGTCACATCTGTGAAACCTAGAGTTGCTCATAAATTCATTAAACTTCGTATATCACTGTCTTGGTGCTTGTTTTGAGTCATACAAGATTTTGTGAAGCTTGCATACAAGATTCTCCTTGCCTTGAATTTTGAAACCTTTTGGTTGTGTTGTATAAATATTTTCCTCTAGATTCCCATGTAAGTATGCAGTTTTAACATCTAATTGCATCAAGTGAAGATTTTTTGTAGTTACAATACTCAAGATGACTCTGATAATAGTTATCTTGACAATAAGAGAGAAAATTTTTGTGAAGACAATTCTTTGTTTCTACTAAAACCTATTCACTATAAGTCTTGCTTTGTATCTTCTTTAGTCATCATATTCTTCCTTCAAGACTCACTTTGTTTTACAAAGTTTTCTTTTCTCTTGATAACTTGGTTAATGATCATGTTTCATTTTTCTAAAGGGAGACATATATTATTTCATTGTTAACTCCCACTTGATAGAATCATTCCCTTGCATGGCCTCATCAAAATATTTTGGCTCATCGGCATCAATTAACAACAAATAATGCAATGAAGGGGAATATCTTTATGTGCTTCTAATACTCTACTAGATCTACCTAGTTGGGTCATAAAGGTTTTTGACATTGTTGTTGGTTTTAGTTGAGTCAAATGTTGATTTTGGTTCTAACACAAATTCTACCTCTGTATCTTGTCTTTTGTTGGTTATATCATTTTTTGAAATTTCTTTCAACTTTACTTTCTCATAAAGTTCTGGCATTTTACTAGAACAGGTTTACTAGAACAGGTAGATTTTACAGACCTGCTCTTATAGAATATGTTTTCATCGGCTGTAACATTTCTACTTCTGATGAATTTTTTGTTTTGTTCATCCCGAAACCTATAGCCATACTTGTAAGATCCATAGCTGATAAAATAACATCTTTTCACCATAGAGTTAAGTTTATCTCTACTATAAGAGTCTATTAGAAGATATTAGACAACTAAAAACTTTCACATGTGAAAGTTTTATCTCTTTTCTAAATCATACTTCAGGTAATTAATAATCTAAAAGAATTTATGGTCCTTTTCTTATGAGATACATTGATGTATTTATTGCTTCTATCCAAAACACTTTAAGCAAGCTAGATTGGATCCTCATACATTTTGCTCTCTCGTTCAATATTCTATTCATCCTTTCTGCAATAACGTTTTGCTTAGGCATTCCCAGGTATTGTTTTGATCATTTTAATCTCATTTTATGAATAGAAATTCTTATACTCTTAGCTATTTATTTTCTGCCATTATGAGATTTTAGATTTCTAACTTTTAATTCTTTTTGGTATTCAACCTCTGCTTTCTATCTTTGAAACATAGAAAACTCATCAGATTTACTTTGAAGAAAATAAATTCATACCTTTCTTGTAGAATCATGACATAATAGCGTGAACCTCCAACGAATTTATTGGGGTTAACTTCCAAACATCTTTATGCCCCAATTCTAACTTTTTGACTTTAGATGTCTTTCTTGACTTTAAGAAGTTGACAATTTTTTACTTTTCAAAGATATGATGTTTACAAACACCAACATCATCATGTTTCAGATTTAATAGTTTATCCTTTAATGCTGAGTTTCATTCCTTTATTATTGATGTACCCAAGTCTTTAATGTCACAAAGAGGAACTATTGACAGTCTCGATAACAATTACCATATCATCTTCTGCAATCATGTAGAGAGACCCTCCTTTCTTTCCACAAGGTACAATCAGATTGCCTTTCATTACTTTCCACGCTCCATCTCCAAGTGGTATAATGCCCTTCATCATCTAATTGCCATATAGATATTAAATTTCTTGTTAAGGAAGGCAACGACATGTCTGACATCGTGCAATATCCATAGGGTATCACTAGAAGTTCTCATGTCAATGTCACATCTTTTCACAATATCAAGAGATCACATCTTTTCACAATATCAAGAGATTTGCTATCTGTAAGGTAAACATTTCCAAACTTTCTAGAAATATTAGATAATTCAATCCAAGTAGTGTGGAATGACGCACTTGATTCCATAACCCATGAGTTAATAGGACTATCCAAGCTGCAAATTAATGTATATGCAAATTCATTAGTTATTGCACATGCAGATTCATTATCAGCCTACTTATTTTTATCGCTCTTCTTTCTCTTTAGGGTTTTACATTGATTGGTAAATGACCAACTTCAACAAATAATATCATTCTAGATTTTTATATGCCCTTTTCCTCTAGACTTTTATGTCTCGACCTTGATTCTAACTTTTTTGGCTATTTCTTCCTCGGCTTTCAATACTCAATATTGAATTTGTTAGACCACAGGATACAAATAGAACATTAAAAGTGTATTATAGGAAGAAGGGTAAAAATAGGAATTGAAACTATTCTATCCTTTAACCTATTAGTTAGGTTTTCGGTAGTAGTAAGTTAATTGGTTAATTTGTTTTACATCAGTTTGGTATAAATAAGTCCTCTGTTAGGTAGGAGAGGAATAGGAATTGAGTAGATAGAAAAAACTGGACAGATTCTAGTGTGAAAGGAGTAGCCTCCTTTGTGTAATCTTTTTTACGATTAATAAAATTCAGGGACGAATAATGCCCTTTTTCCCTTTGACATTTTCGAGAATCTAAGAATTGGTCCGACCTGCCGCTTACTCCCTTTTTACAATGGACACACGCATGCAAACAGCAGAAACTACACTCAAGGCTCACGGTGTTAAATTGACGGAACTGTAGAAAGATGTTGCTTACATCAAAGAAAACATGCCTGACTTGAACCAAATTCGTGGCCTCATCATGGAATGTCTCACCAAGAAACCAAACCACAAAGATGAGGGGCATTCAAGTACCACCAAAACGGGTTCCAACGACGATGAAGGAACAATTGAGGGTGCCACAATGCAATCTTAGTTAAAGAAAGTTGTTCTCCCTACATTTGAAGGGAGTGAAGCCCCTGTTTTGGCCATGTTAGATTTTTCCAAACAGCTTGAAATCGAGTGTGATGCCTCAGGAAAGGGTGTCGGGGCGGTGTTGACACAAGATAAAGGACCTATTGCATTTTTCAGCAAAGGTTTTGCTGATTCCACCCTCGCCAAATCTATTTACGAGAAGGAATTAATGGCCTTGGTTCTTGCAATCCAGCATTGGCGCCCATATCTCTTGGGCAGAAATTCATTGTCTACACTGATCAAAAAAGCCTGCGATACTTATTGGAAAGGCATATCACCACCCAAAACCAACAAAACTGGCTTGCCAAGCTTCTTGGGTATGATTTTGACATTGTTTACAAAATGGGAGCTTCGAACAAAGTTGCTGATGCTTTATCTAGAATCAATGAGGACAAGGAATTCCAGGGCATTTCTAAACCTTTTTGGCAAGATATAACAGAAATCGATGCAGAGGTCCAATGGGATCCGGAGTTAGCTAAAATCGGAGCTGATTTGTTACATGATTCCAATTCCCGTAAACACTTCACCCTAGAACATGACAGGTTACACTACAAGAGCCGGGTAGTCTTATCTGCCACATCTTCATGGATTCCAAAATTATTACGAGTTTCACGCTTCACCTACGGGTGGACACTCTGGAATTTATAGGACTTACAGGCGCGTGGCTCAGTCTCTTTTCTGGTTTGGGATGAAGAACATTGTAACCCAATTTGTTGCCTCATGTGATGTGTGTCAACGCAGCAAATATCTAGCTTCTTCTCCAGCTAGTTTATTACAGCCGCTACCCATTCCCAATGAGGTCTGGGAAGAAATCAGCATGGACTTCATCGTGGGCTTACCTCTTTCTAAAGGGTTCGACGCTATCATGGTGGTGGTGGATCGACTAAGTAAGTATGGGTATTTTATATTAATCAAACACTCTTATTCCGCTAAATCTATTGCTGACATTTTTGTGAAAGAGATCATAAGGCTACATGGTATCCCTATTTCGATCATTAATGACAGGGACCCTACTTTTATGAGCCATTTTTGGCAAGAACTGTTTACACGGCAGGGCACTCAACTGAAGATGTCTACAGCATACCACCTGGAAACAGACAGCCAAACGAAGGTTTTAAATAGGACGCTTGAAACATATCTTTGGTGTTTTAGCTCCGAACAACCTAAGGTTTGGGCTGATTTTATCCCGTGGGCAGAATATTGGTATAATACTACCTTCATGCTTCGGCCCAATGCACACCTTTCGAAGTGGTATATGGTAGACCGCCCCCATCGCTAGTACGGTTTCTTCCGGGTGAAACACTAGTTGAGGCGGTAGCACAAGATCTTAGAGATAGAGATGAAGCATTGATGCAACTCAAGTTTCACTTAAGTCGTGCTCAGAATCAGGTGATTCAATATGCCAATGCGCATAGATAAATCAGTGGAATTTCAGCCAAGAGACTATGTTTATCTGAAGATCAAGCCACATTGTCAAACATCCATGCCTACTAAGCTACATCCCAAGCTCTCAGCTAGGTATTATGACCCCTACAAAATCCTCAAAAAGACTGGAGTTGTCGCATATCACTTACAACTATCAGCAGATGCTCGAATCCATTCAGTTTTTAACGTCTCCCAGCTTAAGAAAGCTTTGGGCAAACACACGGTAGAAGCAACTCTCCCTGCAGAATTACAAGTTCCACAGGAGCCCTATCAGCCTAGCAAGGTGCTGGGCAGCAGGGTGCTTACCCTAGATGGCACTAGAATCCCTCAAGTTCTCATTTGCTGGCAAGGGAAATCACCTGACGAAGCGACGTGGGAAGACTCAGCCACCATTCAGACTCAATTTCTAGACTTTCACCTTGAGGACAAGGTTGTTTCAGAGGGAGGAGGTATTGTTAGACCACAGGATACAAATAGAACATTAAAAGTGTATTATAGGAAGAAGGGTAAAAATAGGAATTGAAACTATTCTATCCTTTGACCTATTAGTTAGGTTTTCGGTAGTAGTTAATTAATTGGTTAATTTGTTTTACATCAGTTTGGTATAAATAAGTCCTCTGTTAGGTAGGAGAGGAATAAGAATTGAGTAAATAGAAAAAACTGGACAGATTCCAGTGTGAAAGGAGTAGCCTCCTTTGTGTAATCTTTTTTATAATCAATAAAATTCAAGGACGAATAATGCCCTTTTCCCTCTGACATTTTCGAGAACCTAACAAAATTGGAAGCATGACTGAAAGAATTCCCTAAATCTCTCCTGTAAACGTCTTCGCTTAAGATCAAGTCACGAATATCATCAAACTTTCACTTTTTATTTCTTGCAGAACTACTAACTCAATAACAATTGCAGCCCAACTATCCAAGAGGGATGATAGTTGAATTAACACCGTCACTTCATTATCAAACATGATCTTAACTCACACTAATTAGGCAAGAATTATATTAAATTTATTAATGTGATTAGCTACGAAATTACCTTCTCTTACCTTGAAGTTGAATAGTCGGTGCATTAAATAAACTTTATTGGTGGTAGATGACTTCTCATATATATTTGATACTGTCTTCATTAGATGTACAATAGTATTCTTGTTTACCATATTGAATGCAACATTTTTATCAGTGCCAATCTTATCACACCAAGAGTCTGTCGATCCAACAAATTCCAATCTGTTTGTTCTATGTTGTATGGCTTCTTCCCAATCAATGATTGATACAACTTCTGATATAGATAATCTCCTATTTGCATTTTTTAGAATTTGAAGTCTGCCTTCAAATTTCTCAATCCTCACTTTCCCATCTTCCAACACCATTGCTCCTTTTACTCCCTCTCAAGAAAGCTCCCACTACTTTCTCTAAACTAAGATCTCCGTGGAAAATCAAATATTTTCTAATGTGGAAGATAAGACAAAGCTACCTCCACACAGGATACTAAGATAAGCTGCAAATACCAGTTGTTGGGAACAAATTAAAAAGCGAGAGAGATTGAGAGAAAGAGGGGGAGAGAACAACACAAGCCTTTAATCATTAGAAGATGTGTTACTTACATAATAATAATAAGATAAAGGTCGCTTAAGAAAAAGTGACGTGAGACTTCATCATACCACGTAATACTAACTATTAACAAGTGTTGGACTTAAGCTACTTAATACTATGTTACGAGCATTTTTGCCTACATAATACCTTAAGCTTTTAGGAGAGTAGGCCTTTGAAATAATATTGGCGTTCTAAAAGACTTCAAATATTATTGCGTTCATTTTTGACAATTAAATTAATTTGATAGTTCTTTAAGTATTTGAGAATTTTTAAATAGGTCCCTGTAGTTATACTTCATAGTTTGTAATTGAGGTTTTGAACCCATAAATCATTTTTAATTAGGTCTCCAATTCGGGTTCTGTCAAAGTTAGACGGAATATTTTTAATCTCTTTAAAGTATAGGGATTTATTTGAAGTTTTTCAAATAATGTAGGGGTTAAATTACTAGTTTAATTTTTCAGTAGGTTTCTGAATTATTTGAGAATTTGTTAACAATTTTTTGTACTTCAACAGGGATCAAGAATATTACATCTAACTTTGATGGAGCCCTAACATAGTCGTAGTTTAGGGATCCAATTAAAAATTATTTATAAATTCAAAGATGGAATTATGAAAATTTTCAAGTGAAAGAATAATTTAACCTTGCATTAGATTTGTGAGATAAAGTAGGCCAATGCCGTAAGGCTAAAGAACACTTAGTGAGAATATATGTTGGAAATTCCAATATAACGCCATTCTTGGACTACTAAAGTTTATTTGGATTGTTCTTTGCATGCATTTCATAACAGTGCTCGTGCGTGCAATGTTTTTCCATTAAGAGAGAGATGGATATCATAACTGCAGGTGAATCAAAGGCGGCGATGCTTCTGGAATCTAGTTTCTGGATATGCAATTTCAAGCCATATAATATTTGAAGAGGCCTTCTTGGTGGTAAATATCTCCTAATACAGAGGTTCCCTTCAAATCTGTTTTCTGAAGAAACTAAGAATGGCAAGTGCAGATTTATTATTCTTGTTCATAGACATGTTTCTTAGAATTATCCGTATCAAATTAAATTTCTGTAAAAAATCTGGAGTTTTCCTTTTAGTTTTCTTTGTTTTTATGTTTGTTATCTTTTTCCCTTTACAAATTTTATCACGATCAATTGTATCAAATTATCAACATTTTTTATTTTTTTTTGGTTATAATATAGTGAAGAGAAAATGCCATATCACCCTTTCCCTAAACATCCGTCGTGTTTCATGTTAGTTAAGATTAAGAAAGATTAACTAACTAAATTTGATCTTCATCAAATAGATTATGACGTTTAAAGTAGAAGTCATTATCCATTCTTAGAACCCATGATTAAATTACGTAACTTTGAATCATGTATCTGTTTGGGTCTTGCGGGGGAAAAAAGGATGATAATCCATATTGTGTGCGCGTGTTGCTATTAGAAGTAGGATCACGCATTTCTTCTGATGGATAAGGATAAGATATCCGTTCCAAATATTTTGTGACTTAATCGAGTTTGATGGATTAGGCTCGGTTTGAATAGGTTTTTATAGCAAATAAATAGTATAAAATTTGAATAAATTTTGAATAAATTTTTTTCTTAAAAAAATAAAAATAAGTTGATTTTAACTTATGAAAAAAAATTATTACTTAATTTTTAATTTTTATAAAACTTTATTGAAAATTTTAATCAAACTGAATATTAATCCTTTTAAATTGTGCAACTATAGACTTCAAAAAAATTATTTTAATGAATGATTTCTGAAAATTGTTATATAAATTATTTGAAAATCTCATTATAAGATTACATTGTGGAAAATACATTGTGCTTGAGTGCTATAATATCAAGGTTAGACCTTATAATTTTCATCTCTAATTAAATCTTACTCAAATAATTGAATGGTTATTTAAATAATTAAAAACAATTATCAATTAATAGTCAAACCACAATTCATCAATAAAATTCTAAAGCAAGAACAAAATTGTATATATCCAAAAGAGGATCTCATAGATTCTCTAAATAAAATTTTTATTACCATAATTATAAATAAAAAATAGATAATATAATTATTATAGTTAGAATAAATAGACAAAGAGAAGAATAAAAAACAGAGATTTTTTTAATGAATATAAGTCTTCCTTTAAATCTACATGCATCCTCTTTTATCTAAATATAAAGGTGTTGTGTTCAATTTGCTTCAATATTTATTCAAAAAATCATTCAAAACGCATGTAAAAATAACGTGATTCAGTTCAGTTTGGACCGGTTTTAATACATTATTAAATTATTTTATTTTTATTATATGACTTTTAATTTATTTTTAAATTTAGAATAAGTAGTAACTAAAAGATTGAAATGAATTTTTAAAAAATAAAAAATAGAAAAAAATGATGATTAAAGATATAAAATTATAAAAAAAATTATATGAAAATATAATTAAAAATATTATAAATGTGGTTCGGTTTAATTTGGTTTTAAAATTCAAGTAAAACCGCAATATAAAATGTAATTTTTTAATTTTTAATTCAAATTGGTAACGGTTTGATTTTATTTTGACTGCCTCGATCTACATAATTTTCAATGACTTTTATTTTTTTAAAAATAATGCCTTTATTTGTCTAAGTGTACTAGAGGGTGTGACCCCAAGGTTTAGACCCAATTTATAATAAAAATAATTAAAGAATATTTTTAAAAAAAATTTGGAGATTTTAGGCTTGAAATATTATTACAGCTTTTGGCATTTATCCTTTAACCTTTTAAGGCATAATTCATCCTTTAACAATTTCAAAAAATACTCAAAATTAAATTTCACTATCTTAGATAAAATATAAAAAAATATATCAAATAAACTCAAATTCACATTAATAATAAAAAAATAATAATGAGATAATTAATATTCAAAATCATGCTACTCCAACTATGAGAATAAAAAAACAAAGCTAAAAAAAATATATTTTACATATATTGATTCTATTTGGGTTGGAAGATACACCGTCTTTTATTATTTATTTTCTTATGATAGATGTAATCTCTCTCTTGTTAAGTTTTAGTCATTAAAATATATTTTTTTAAACTTTAATTATAAGAATTATTAAGTGGATCTATTTAAGAGAATAAAATTTTTTGACTAATTTTTTTATTTAAGTAAAATAACTACTTACTAAAAGGGAAGAATTTTTTTTATATCAGTGTAAGTCTAAAAATTTTTACACTGAGCTTTTCATTTAACTTAAATAGTAAATTAATAAATTATAACCTGTTAGATTTAAGTTAAATGAAAAGTTTAAATTAGGTGTAAGAGTTTTTAAACTTATACCAGTGTAAGAAGATCTTGTTCCTTTACTAAAATAGCTTTTCTAGTAGTTTATAATAGATTTTGAAGCATTATTTAAATTTGCATTCTAATTTATGAAACTTTTTTTTTTTTACTTTTATTCCTATTTTTTTTATAATTTTTGGTTTATATATTTTTATTCATAAATTTAAAATAATAATATAAATGCATTTGTGTTATCTCATTTTATTTTAATAACAATAATATAAATAAGAATAAAACTAAAATTCATTATCCTAAATTTTAAGATAATAAATAATTTAAAATATATTAAATTTTGTAACTATTTTAAAAACATACATTTACCAAATTTACTTCAATAATTTATTATATTTTTATTTATTATTTCATATTTATCAGCCACTTCAGCAACTAATTTTATTAAATACTTTCAATGAGTTAGTTTTTATCTTTTAATTTTTAGCTTTGCACTTGACTTTCTAATTTTTAGGTTTTTTGTTTCTATTTTTGCAGAAATTACTCATATTGGAGTGGAGGGTCCAGATCGAAACAACACAAATCCAATGACAAGACACAATAATGTTAGCTCTTGTTAATGTCTTAACATATGCAATGAGGTCTGTTATTCCACATATATTGAAAAACATATTCTTACAAAAATTATTTTATAACAATTTATATAAAAGTATAAAAAAAAAAAAGTTATGATTTTCGACATGTATATTTTTAATTAATAAAATAAATAATAACATAATTATATCTATTTGTACTCTTACATAACTTGTCATAAATAAATATTTGTGAAAATATACAAGTCTTTGAGTAATTCTCTCTGGATTCAGTAAATTCATCTTACCGCGCGGAGTGGGGGAAGGATCGAGTCTAACGATTCTTAGTTAAATGAGCATTATAAAAGCCACACACTTCTCTACTATACATCTTCACTAACATACATCGATATGGCACCCAAATGTATTTTCGTGGCACTTAATCTTCTTGTCATATTTGCACTTGTGTCTGGATGTGAAAAGTGCCCTACTCCAAGCCCAAGCCCAAGCCCAAGCCCACCGAGCACCAACACCAGCAGTGTTAGGGTTACAGGCCTTTCAGATTCGTCGTGCCCACGTGACGCACTCAAACTAGGCGTCTGCTCAAGCTTCCTGAACGGGTTGATGAACTACTCCATTGGTCTGCCCCCAACCACCCATTGTTGCTCCTTCTTCGAAGGCCTTGCTGACTTTGAAGTTGCAGTGTGCCTCTGCACTGCTCTCAAAGCAAACATTATGGGCTACAACATCGACATTCCCATCTCATTTACAAACCTTGTCAATGTTTGCTCAAAGGATGTCCCAAATGGTTTCCTATGTTCCTGATTTATATGATCCAATTTGCAACACGTCGTGTCTACTTTTGCTTCGTTCTTCCTCTAGAGTCATTCTAATACTTCTTTTCGTTCCATGTATGATGTGATTCATGCACGTACGTGCATGATGATTAGTTGCAACGAAACCAAGGTTGCTGAGTTATATGTAGTATTTTTATTTGAATGAGAAATGAATAAATGCTTAATTCTTAATCACCATTATGTGTAGTGTTTAGACAAAATTTAAAATCTGGACCGAGCTTCATGTCGTGATTGCGGATTGCATTGACCGACATGATCAGATCACAACAATCGCAACGCAATCAAGGCATAATTAATCTTCAAATAAAATTTCGAAATATTTTATATCTGTTATAGTCAAAATTACATTAATACTAAGAAAATTTAAATAATATTAAGTCAATTTATATATGAAATTATACTTCCAAATATTTTCAATTATAGAAGTTATTATGTACAAAACTCTTTTAATGATAATTTTTTATTTATAAAATTTGCATATGAGAGACCACTTTAAAGAAACGGTTTTTCTTGTTGATAAATAGATTTTCGTTACTCTTGGACAGGGATAAAGTATTTACTGAAAAACATTTTTAATACATCTAAGAATACTTCGAGTGTTATAAAACTTAATAATTACTGCCTATGAGTTCAACTTTTGACAACGGTCCGTAAAGATTGAGAAAAAAAATATTTTTTATGTAAGGCAATCGATATTGTTATTAATTAATTACATTCAAATTAACTGTTTTCACATTGGATATTGAAAGAAATATACGTATTATTATAACATTAAATACTCAGTGCGCAATTAAATATATAATAAGTCAAGTAAACTCATTTAATTATATATATATATATATATATATATATTTATTTAGAACTTATCCTTAAAAATTAAGAAAATTTAAATAGAACATAATTAAAATGATTATTAATCATATTCATGTTAATTTTACACTGGATGGTAAAAGTTATTAGACAATATAACATTAATCATTTAGTTTAGTTATGCAGAATAAAAATACATAGCAAATAAGGTGATTTGCATAACTTAATTTGTAAACAAGTAATGAATGAAAAATATAAATTAAGAATGTTAAATCAATACTAATACTAAAGACAAGGATTATTTAAGAACTAATGGAGGGCGTGGATAATGTGGGCTTATTTATTTATTTTTTTAACTTAAAAGAGTAATTTAAAAAATCTTGATTTAATTAATATAGTGTAAGATTAAATAAAAAATATTTCTTATTTATGGTGACTATATGCAAATAAATAAAAATGAAATTTAAATATTTTTTAATATTTAATTTTATTTTGGTGTGATTGCCAAATTCAAACCATGGCATTAATTTACTTATGGAAAATATACGTGGACATTTCCTAGAGATATTTCCGTGATTTCATTGAGAAAACTGGTTAGGGCTGGATTTGGAAAGAAACCCCCTCGAAATCCAAATGCCAGTGTCCCACTTCTGCTTTGTTCTTTACTTCTTGGACCCTTCACCTCTCTCTTCGTTCTTTTCTTGCTTCTAACAAACTCTCTCTCTCTCTCTCTCTCAGGCCTCTTCCTTCTCCTTAATCATACTCATCCCACTCTCATTTTCCTATTTCTGACTCTTACAAATTATTTGTTTTATTATTACAGAGTCTTGAAGTCAAGGATCTCACCATGCAAACAGCATCTTACAATCATCCTCTATTCTGTTTCTCTTGCAGGTACATACTTAATCTTTTTCCCCGATTTTATAATACAGTCTCTCTTTTCTACAATTTAGGTTAATTGACTGTGAAATTGAACTTAATTGTACTGCAGAAACTTTAGTGCACATGGGAAGACTAGTTCAATGAAATTTCGTGCACCATATCCCTCTCAACTAGATCGCAAATGTGAATTCAACGGGAGACCTAATGTTTATAACTCCCCCATACCTGTAAAATTAAACAGACTGTTTGCTCTTCCTAACACTGGTGACAGCCATCCATCGGCTTCTATGACTGATGATGAAATGAACACAAACCATGCTCCTAATGGGCCGTTTCTCAGCAACTGGTCGCCCCCGAGATACCTGTGGAGGGGATTATCAGTTTTAATCCTGACAGGGCAGGTTATTATGAGGACTTTAAAGGGAAAGATTCATTGGAGGAATACTCTACAACAATTGGAGAGAGTTGGTCCAAGATCAGTTGGGGTGTGTCTTTTAACTTCGGCCTTTGTGGGCATGGCCTTCACGATTCAATTTGTAAGAGAGTTCACTAGGTTGGGATTGAATAGATCTGTGGGTGGGGTTTTAGCTTTGGCTTTCTCAAGGGAGCTAAGTCCCGTGGTTACCTCAATTGTGGTTGCTGGGCGCATTGGAAGCGCTTTTGCAGCTGAATTAGGAACTATGCAGGTTTCTGAGCAGACTGACACGCTGAGAGTTCTTGGTTCAGACCCTGTTGATTATCTGGTGACACCAAGAGTGATCGCTACTTGTATTGCACTGCCTCTTTTGACCCTATTGTGTTTTACATTGGGGTTGGCATCTAGTGCCCTTCTTGCTGATGGTGTTTATGGGGTGAGCATTAACATTATATTGGATTCAGCTCAGCGAGCTCTCAGATCATGGGATATTATTAGTGCAATGATCAAGTCTCAGGTTTTTGGTGCTATCATATCTATAGTGAGTTGTGCATGGGGAGTTACAACTTTGGGAGGTGCTAAAGGTGTTGGGGAATCCACAACATCAGCGGTGGTTATTTCTCTTGTTGGCATCTTCATTGCCGACTTTGCTCTTTCTTATTGTTTCTTCCAAGGAGCAGGAGATCAGCTGAAGAATTGCATTTAAGCAACTAACTTTGTGTCTGCAATTTTGCTCATATGTACAAAATGAATGGTATGACTTCTCTATAAGAGCCGTGATAAAAATCTTTTTACAATTTGCAACTGTCCATGAATCTTGTTCTTTTCTTAGTTATGGGTAGCTAAGTTTACATATACATATCTATGTATGATTGCAAGTCCTTTAAATTCAGTCAAGAATATTTTTCCTTAAGAAAAAATGTGTTAACTATTAGATTATTCTTATAATTTTTGTAAGTTACAATGAAATGATATTTTGTTATGTCAAATAGGCTATAATGTTGTGATCCATTTGATGATTGATTCATAATTAGCTGAGGGTATGTAATAACTTTTCTTTTAGTAAGTGAGTTCAACAAGTAAAAAAAAAAATTGTTTTTGGCCTGAGTAATTTTAAAAAGTAAAAACAAGAATAAACGCACTTCAGGAAACTGTTGGAATTCCAACTCTGGGAAGTGGCCTGATGAGCAGATCCACTTGTTGGCCTCTCTGATAATGTGATGATTGGATGGCTTCAAAACCATTAGCAAGAACATGGATATCCTAGATAATCTTGTAGGAAGGGTGAGACCCTTCACACTTTTTAACCATTAGGTGTCCAGACAGGTGTAGGGACTGCAGCTGCGATAGTGATGGGTAAGTCTACTGATGTTGTGGATGCTATTGCAAACCTTTCTTACTTCTACAAGAATGAGGGCTGCGGGCAGTGTGCACCATATAGGGATAGAACATGGTGTCTTTGGATGAACATGGAAATATTGAAAGTTGGGAATGCAAAGCTGGAGTAAGTGATATGCTTCAGGAGATTGTAATGAAAGGCTGCTTCATGATCAGAGCTTTGGAGAAGGATTAGAGAGTATGCAGAAAAGGAGTTGGTGGAAACCACTGATTTGGCTTACACTGAGGCTGTTTTATAAATCTTATTTTCTTAATTTTTTATTGAAATGATTCTCGTTCTTTTCCTGATCATATATGATTATTGATTGGGCTTGAAAATTGCAGAAAAACGTAATGGTAAAAGGAGAGGAAAAAAAATAGTTTTGCTCTGAAATCCAAGAATACTTACCTTACTGTTGTTTATTGTGCTATGATATGGATGAACGGATCCTGTCTGTTGGTTTGAATGTTTTAAACTAGAAGTACATATCTTAAGTATGCCTACAGTCAATTCAAGAAGAGAGAGAAATGCTTGGAAAACATAAATTTGAGGTTTGATATGAAGGTAGCTGCCTAAACTAGCTGTCGGTGAAATATAGCAATTTCTATCATTCTAATGAAATGACAGATCCTGAATGTTTATGAGATGTTTTTGACATCTAAAATCACCTCTTCCAAGAATATGGCTTGTTGAATTAACTGGTTTAAAAGAAAGTGCCAATATTTAACTATTATTGTTTGGGGAAATAATTAGGTAAAAAAGCTAAGATTTTTTTTAGAAAAAGCAACAAAATGTTTTTTCCCTGATATTTTTTCATGTGTTTGTGACTACCTCTTTTTAACATATGGAATTCAAGTGAACCCGTTTTGACTAAGTGGTCATTCTGATTAGAGGCTTGGATTTCTCACAAAGTTACATGTGGAGTGGAATTATTGTTGGTTTATATGGTTATTTTGTTTTTTTCTTAGCTTTAATTTGTGCAACATTCAGTTCATTCTGAAATTTCGCTGCAAGATTAATGTTGCGTGGTATGCTTTAGTTGTGACTATAGGAGTACGAACTTTACAATCAAGAATTATTTGTGACTACATTATGATCTTAATCGCATGCTGTGCCATTGTTCTTCGTGGAAAAATCTTTGGCGGCTCTCTCATGATAACAAATTCATCCACCAGCCCATTAGAGTCAATGACCTCACATCATTACCCCGATGATGAATACGTATCATTTGGCTTAAAGTTAAGTAAAATTAATTTTAAATTGTTGAATATGATTGAGATACATATATAGATTAAATGATTATTTATCTTTTAAACAAATAAGCTGTACATAACTTGAGAATCATGCTCAACAGAAGAAAAAGCAACCCAATCATAAGCTTGGGCAACATGGCAAGTGCGAGCACTTGTACCTGAACACGATACCGGATCCGGTTCCTCAGCATTTCATGGATGCATTAATTTTACATAAATTTTCATGGGTGAAATGCCGTTATGATATAGTGAGGTTACATACATTTCATGGATTCATTTTGAACGATTCTTCAGCTTATGATCGTTAAATCATTCAAATCACTCTCCATAGATGAAGTGATTCAAACATAATTCAATTTATGAATATAGATGATACGAATGCTCGTTTAAGTCTCTGCACAGTTGTAAATTGTCGATATATATATACACGCAAAGTGCCGGACATAAACTTATACATTGTCTCTTATTTTAAATTATGATAATATTTCCATTAATTTACACAGTTATATTAAAGCACTTATTAAATACATGAATTTAAATAAACTCTCACGCATCAACATCCGTGTGAGACCTCTTAAGTCTTGATCAATTCAAATTTTCAATTTATGATATATGATCATGACATCATATATCATCTTAATATTATCCCCTGCTTTAACGCAGGGTGGTACCATTTTCATTCATTATTGTTGATATTCAAAATTTCCTAGTATTTTCCTACACTTTGACAACCTTTTGTGTTTGATACATGTTATCAAGTTTGAACCCAATAATAGATAGATCAATATAACACAAAAGAAAGACAATTTAACTAATAAATAGATAAATATTTCTAGAAAAGAGAATTTTGAATAGAAAATCAAGGGGCAGATTGTAAATGGTTTAAGTAATCTCATCTACATTCAGAAATCACGTATAGCTCAAAAACAAAATTGTAACCAAACAAGAGAATAAAATCAAAGATAAATTGAGAAAATTATGAGCAATTAATATTCGGAAAGAGAGATTAACAGCACACATGAAAATTCAAAACAATGTATGAACTTCAACCCTTTTCCTTGCATGTTTATTATTTCATGAAATCTTGTAGATCCTTCAGGTCAAGCTACAACACCATGAAGTTCAATGCTGCTTGTATTAGAAATGGCCAAGTAGTCTTTACGCAATCCTTTCTGTCAAGTCTCAGTTACAATTTTCAAAATTGGTAATCCTTCACAAAATCCTATCAAGGACTCAACCACATAATTCTTAAACTGGTCAATGAACCGGTTAACTGATCATGAACTCAGTTAATGATTACACCGGATCAGTTTCTTTTTCGCCGTACTACCTGTTCAAAACCGGTTTTAATTGTATTTGTTTAGGTTGTTCGATTACTACAACCAAAAAGAAAAAAAAACAAAAATAACTCAACCTTTTGTTTTTTCATTAAATCATTAGATTAGATACGAGATAAATATATACATGAAATACATTAATTATAAAAAATAATAATAAAGCACCAAGTAATTTTCAACTATATCTTACATCCCACATAATTAATAAACCGTTTGTTTTATATTTCAGAAACCCACCCCTTCATAAAAAGAAGGAAGAATGATCTACATTTGTGGAACATTGCGCTTATTCAACGAAATCGCAAACAAACAGGCTCTAAGTAAACCTTCATCGAATTTTACACGTCTTAAATATTTTATTCCGAAAATTTAATTTTTTAAAAAAGTAACAAGATAACAACATGGATACCCTAACAACCTTGACTCTAAGGGGAAATTAAAAAATTATATTATTTAGATTGGTGAAAAATAATAGAATTAAAAGTCCTTAATGTCATTATATTGTGAGTGTGGGGCCACGTGGCAGTCCCTCTCTACGGAGGACACGGTTTTCTTTGAGTTGTGGCATTTCCTTCCTTCCTTTCTAATTTTCCTTTTTCTTAACCTCTCAGTTTTCAAATCGCATTGTTCATGTTTGACCCCTTTCATTCCAATCAATTGAAAAAATCAATCACAATCACTTTCGTCTTCCCTTACACACACCAATAACCAATTTCGCTTTTTCATTTTTTTTTTCTTTTACTTTTTCAAATGGGTCCCATCGTCTATCAGACCCAATTCGGTTCTCTTTTTTGTTGATCTCATTCCAAGTTAGCTTCTTTTTCTCTTCCCTCATTATGACTTAGCATTGCATTAATTAACTGGTTTGGTTAATTGTTGGTTTTTTTTATTATTGTTTTATTTTATGAGAATTGTTTTCATTTGATCACTTTGCTTATAGCTGAGTTGAGCTTTGTCAAGTTTCAAGCGTTTGTTTATGCTTTTCTTCTACCATTTGCATGCATTTAGCTGTTTCTTCTAGACTCTGGTTGTGTAACTCCATTTGGATTTCTTCTTTCTTACCTCATTCCACTCGGTTGCTTTTGTCTCTTCCTTTAAAATATTTTTTCGTTGTATGTCTTTGTTCTATTTTGATTTTTTTTTAATAAAAAAAAGAAGAAAAAATGGTCTCACTCTATTTTTTCGTTTCTTTTTTGGGGTGTAAAGGAATATCTCTTCAATAAGAGTACATTGTGCATTGGCTTCACAATTTATTTTCGTTTGGTCATTCCTGGCATCGTGTATTGTTTATTCCTTTGTTGCTACGTTACCCAGTTAAGTATGTTTGGAATGTTTTAAAACATCCTCATTTACTCTAATTTTTGCTGTGTGTTTAGGTTTCATCATTTAGAGTGAATCAGCATACCTGGCAAGGATAGCATTTTTTATTTTTTTTTGGTAAAGATGGTTCTGGGAATAAGATCAAAGAGTAGAAAACGTGTCTCAATCCAAGTTCACTATGTCATCCATATTCAGGAGATCAAGCCATGGCCCCCTTCACAATCACTGAGATCTGCTCAATCTCTACTACTGCAATGGGAAAATGGTGATCAAAATTCTGGGTCTCTGGCATCCACTGCCAGCAGTGGAAGAATCGAATTTAAGGAATCTTTCAGGCTTTCAGTACTTCTGTGGAGAGATGCATCCAAAAAAAGCAAACAATCTGAAAGTTTCCAGAAAAACTGCTTAGACTTTAACTTGTATGACAAGACAGTAAAGAATCAACTATTGGGATCCGCCACAATAAACCTTGCTGATTTTGGAATTATTAAGGAAACTAAAGCCATAAGCATTTTGTTGAACTGCAAGAAAAGTTTCAGGAACTCGACACAACCATTTCTTTATGTTAATATTCAGCCACTTGATATAGAGTGTTCCAGCTCATCACCAAACAGCAGCTTGTCCAAAGAATTGTCACTAGACAAGGAAGAAAGTGAATCTATATCTCAGTCAATAAAAGATGATGATATTGAAATAGCCTCTTTTACTGATGATGACAATGATGACATCCCTTCAAATACCTTCCAAACTATCAGATCCGCTTCAGAGACTACTGGAGGTTTGCCCCCTCTTAAGTGGAAAAGTACTAAATTACTTTTTGTCTTATAATTGTGCTTAATGCAAATAGATCAAATCATTGTCTCCTTTTCAAATAGATTCTTATAGTTTGGTAGTAATTTACCTCAAATTCTTGTTGCCTCCTTATTGAGCTGGATTTTGCTCAACGAAAAGCTGCTATGGTGCTTTACTTTTGGTTATGGTATTAATTGATTTAGTCCTCTTTATTTTTGTTATGCATGCACGCATTGATCATATACATCAACATGCCTGTTGTGTTTATGGTGCTGCAATTCATGTTCTTTTTAATCTTACTATATTTCGGAGATGAGATGGCATTGTTATTGTAATCATGGAACATTTGTATATCAATTACCTTACCTCTATTGTTGGTTGGTAATTGTCAATTTAGCTCCATCTTAAAATGATAAAATATTTGAACACTAAATGCGATGACAGGTAACCCTTTTTAAATTGTATGTAGATATGTATTCAAAGAACTAGAGAGAAGTTAGAACTATGCAGACGCACTACAGATGATGTAGTTTTTCGATTGATTGTCTAATGTCTAGAAGTATATATTTTATACAGAAATGCGCTTGTCTAGTTCTTCCATGTTAATAACCTGTTGTCATTTTATTTCAGACAGCATCAAAATCAGTGGAGGAGGAACAAAAGGATCTAATGGAGAATTTGTTGTACCCTCAGAAAATTCTGCATCTACCTTACTTGGGGACACAGAGGGTGAAGCATCCACACAGTTCAATGACATTGAATCTCCCTCTTCATCTATGGTTTTGTGCTCAGATGTGGAAAATGCAGCAAATGACAGGCCTTCTTTACCTAAAATTTCCAAGGCAAGTGTCAAAGTTGCTGATGCAAGTTCTGAAAATCAAGAAAGCATTCAACTATCTTCAGCTTCACACACTTCATCAAGTATGAAACCAAACTTTGAAAGATCTTCCCAATCTCAAGTGATTCGAGAGGATAGCATGACTCAAGAAGATATCACAAGAGATCAGATATTTAATATAGATGCTCTGGAGAAAGTTAGCAATTTTTCTAGAGCTGGAGTTATGGACAACAGAGAGAAAATGGACAAGAGAATAAAAGAACAAGAACAGTTTACTTTGAGGAATGAACTTTTAGAAAATGAGCTCATTAATAATTTTTCTGATAATGATTCTACTAACAGAGGAAAATTGAATAGTGCTACTATTTTGTTCAATGAGGAATCACATGAATATCCAACAAGTATTTTAATGAATGATAAAACAGAGGATGTGACAAATGTAAAGTTTCCTTTGCAATCTGCTGAGAACTATGAACTGTTCCTAAGCAGTCAAACCCAAAATGAGGCAGAGGAAATTAATACTTTGAATGATGTTCATGTTGATCCTGCTTGTCATGAAGATGTTAATGTGAATGGAAGCTTTCTAAATGATAAAACTGAATTAAAGGCTGAAGTTGAAATGCTTCGAGAAGAGCTAAGGGAAGCTGCTGCTCTTGAAGTTTCTATGTACTCAATTATTGCTGAACACGGTAGCTCATCAAACAAGGTCCATGCACCTGCTCGGCGCCTTTATAGATTCTATTTCCATGCTTGTAGAGTTGGCTCCCCTGCTACAATAGCTAGTGCAGCCCAGAGTGCTGTCTCGGGATTTGTTTTGGTTTCTAAAGCATGTGGAAATGATGTTCCAAGGTAAATACAACTTGATTTCATAACTATCTTAACTATGCTGAAATGTTATAAAAGTCCAGGAGCGTATAACTGACGATCTGTTCTGATGAATCTAAACTGCAACAGGAATCTTTGATAAAAGCTGAACCTAGTATAACTAGCTTCTATGTCATATGGAAATTTATCTGTGAGAAGCTGCTGTAGTATTTTCTTGTCTATTGAAGTTTGGGCAAACAAAAAAAACTTAAGATTGGAAATGAATGTATTAAGGAAAAAGTTGGGGAAGCACCTATAAGGAGAAGATGATTGAGACTCATCTAAGGTGGCTTGGCCATGTGAGGAGAAGACAAACAAGAGCTTCAATAAGGAAAGTGGATCGAAGGGACTAATTTTAAAATTTAAACTAGGTAGAGGAAGAAAACATTAGGACAAACCATTGAAGAAGGCATTGTTCTAATAAGATGCTAAATGGATTTGTTGTTTTTTTTTTTTTTGGTTGAGTGAAAAATTTGGCTTTTTCCAAAACATATCGGCATTGTTTGGTTACTGTAGCCAACCCCAACTAATGGGGTAAGACCTTGCTGTTGTTATGTATACAAAAGTTTGATTTATTTAACATCATTTTCAAAAAAACTTGTGCATAGTTTTCATTACACTTGTTCATGTTGTACCAATTCTTACTTTCCTGATTCTTAACCATGAATAGGTTGACATTCTGGTTCTCAAATTTAATACTGCTGAAAGCAATTGTTAGCAAAGAAGTTGGAAATATATGCCGTGGTGATGGTCCATGCATCAATAGTGAATGTGATGTAGCTGGTAACACTCTTCATGAAGAAGAAAAAGACAATACAGAAAAACTTTTTCATAGCTGGGAGGAGCCAGAAACATTTTTGTTTGCATTGGAAAAGGTTGAAGCATGGATATTCTCTCGAATTGTTGAGTCTGTGTGGTGGCAGGTTAAATTATAACCCTTTTTCTTTCATCTCCTTTTTCTTCTGATTCTTCTGCTAATTTGAAAGTGTGAAACTGAATGCCCTTGTACTTTTTCCTGATACTTTTTGGTGTTTGTTTTCCCCCAGACTCTTACTCCATATATGCAGTCTGCAGCTGCTAAGGGCTCCAAATCAAGGAAAACCAGTGAAAGCAGATATCGTATAGGTGATCAAGATCAGGGAAGCTTTTCTATTGATTTATGGAAAAGAGCTTTCAGGGATGCTTGTGAAAGGCTTTGCCCTCTTCGAGCTGGAGGGCTTGAGTGTGGCTGCTTACCAGTGATAGCTAGATTGGTACAATTATTGCTATCTTGATGCAATGTATCACAATGCTGGTTTTCATGATATTCTACTTTTTATGCATGTGTATGGATGTAGTTGTATATGTTATTTTATAATGTGACAAAACATCTAACTTGGTGTTTTTGTCACTCTGATGCTTAAACCTTATCTTGAAATATTGGAAGTTATGGTTAATGGGTAGTAATTTAAAATCACAAAATTTTTTATTCTGTGTGTTCTCTAAATTTTAAAAAAGGAGGGTGAGAGGGTTGATGTGCATGTGAAGATGCTAGTGTACATAAATTGAAAGATAAAGGTGATAGAAATCATGAGGTTGAAGCATTGCACATGAGTGAGAATATACAAAGCTAATGGGGGAGAGAAAACACTAAAGTAACTTTTTCCATTGCTTTGTATAGATGGTAGTATCATAGGCTTACTACTTTGGTTTGTTATATCATTGTACTCTTTAGAACTTGGCTTTGGCTACTCCAAACCTTTGAGTATCTTAATTTTGTTTTTCTTATTTATTTTTGACAGTCAACATATGCGATATGGGTCTGTCCATGGCTAGTTCTTTGTGTTGGATTATGTTCAAATTGTTTTTGTATAATTGACTTCTTGTACTTTATTATATAAGCAGATGGTACTGAACACCTTTATAGACTGCACCAGCATCATGTTTTTCCTTGAACCCTTTTTTTATTGTTAGGGAGAAATTTAAAAATAACCTGCCAACACCCAGCATCCTAGGCTTCTGGTTGATTTGTTTCTTAACATTGAATAAACCCTCTTTGACCATGTGTTCATGACTTTAACCACCGCACCTTTTCTTCAAAATATATTTATAAATTGAATTTTGACATTTGATGTTTTTCACTTCACCGAGGCTTTTCTGTTGTTGATGTTCTTCACTTCTTTGTCTGTGCTTCTGGCTCAAAGGCCTTTAGTAGAGGAGACCCTACTAAACCATTCTTGGACCTGCTTTGGGGTTGATTTGATTCTTGACAGCCGAGGGAAACATAGGCCTTCTCCATCTGTTCATTCTTTATGGCTTACTTCTGGTTAATATTGTGTGTGTGGAATTGGTTATATAATTGGTTTATTATTGAGAAGTTCCAAGTTGGATAGATGTACTTGTTCTTGTTTTCTCTTAATGATAGTATGAGATACTTGTTCCTACCTTAAAAAAACTGAAATACAGCCTAATTGAAGTAGAACTGTTTTTGTTGTTGTAGGTCATGGAGCAGTTGGTTAGTAGACTGGATGTGGCAATGTTCAATGCTATTCTTCGTGAATCTGCTGAAGAGATGCCCACAGATCCTATATCTGACCCCATCAGTGATTCTAAGGTTCTTCCTATTCCAGCTGGAAAATCAGGCTTTGGGGCTGGTGCCCAACTGAAGAATGCTGTGAGTTATGAAACGTTTTTGTTCAATTCCTTATTTCTTTTGAAAATTACAAGATTGAGCATAGTGGTCTTTATAAATTTTTTACCGCAAGGCATACTTCCTCTGTACCTACAGCAAAATGCATTAGGATGATTATGAGGAAATTTGCTAGCTGTTCAAAGACATAAAGTATCTTATGATGTTTTGGTGCAATTATTTAGAAAACAAATATAATCTCGATTTGTTGTTGAGCCTTAATAAAGAAATACTACCGGAATGAGGGGAGTGGGTATCAGAGACAAAACCTATTTAAAAAAAAAAAAATAAGGTCAGAAATATTTTATAGCAGTTTACTGAATAAATTTGATATCTTGAGAGAATGATTTTGGATTCATTGACCTCATTCAAATTTTGAAAGATACTTATAATTCTAATCTTTTGAATTTTGATACATGACATCTATAATTTACAGTTATGAAGTTCTTTTTCCTGGGCAGCTCCCCATCTTAAAATACGTCTTTTTCAAGTTTTGCTTAAACATACTTCTTACGATGTCCTTGTAAATTCATTGATGCTCCACGGTAGTGCATGTTTGGCAGTGAAGTACTAAATACTAATACAAACAAAAATGAATGTAGCAGAATTGGGCACATGCCAAGGTGTATAACTGTATACACAAGAAAAGAGAGTATGTATGAATGTATCCATGAGAGAGTTATAGTATCATCAACTGAAGAGAAGATTATAGAAATTTACTTAGTTGATTTGATCATGAGAAAAGAAGACCAGTAGAGGCTTCATTGTGAAGTTGATCAAATGGAAGTTAGTCCAATGAAAAAGGGTGGAGAAAGACCTAAGCAAACTTGAGAAACCATTTAGAAAGACATTCTAGTAAATGATTTTACTGAAAATTTGGTTCTTGAAAGAGCCTAGTATTGTTGATTCATTCATTTAGTTAACCATACGTAGTAAACTAAGAATGGTTGTGATTCCCTGAAGGATTTGTGATGTCTGTTAGCTTGAGTAACTTTTTACTATCTGTACTCAGATTGGTGATTGGTCAAGATGGCTTTCAGATTTATTTAGCACCGATGATAGTAATGCTCACGAAGTTAGCGATGAAAATGACAGACCCAAATGTGAATCATCCTTCAAACCTTTCCATCTCCTTAATGCATTAAGTGATCTAATGATGCTTCCTTTGGAAATGCTAGCAGACGGGTCTATGAGAAAAGAGGTTGGATCAAACTTCTTATTTCTTGACTTGTCTTTTTTGTTCCACTGTTTTTTGGGAAACTAATTCTAAATTTTTTGTGAAAAAAAATCTTTAGGTATGCCCAAGATTCGGTATATCATTGATAAAACGGCTTGTCAACAATTTTGTTCCAGATGAGTTCTCCCCAGGGCCCATCCCAGATGCTGTTCTTGAGGCCTTAAACAGCGAGGTTGGTTAATTTTTAGCATGCTTTTAATTCCTCTGTGAATTAAGCAATAAGTATGGTGTAGCAATAGATAATTGCAAATTTGCAATGTTTACAATCTATGTTTACTTAAATACGATTTTAACCCCCTTCCTTTTTAAGAAAATAATTCAACATCTTTTGGGGGGTTGATTTTTCATTTTAGGATATTCAGGATGATGAAGGATCCATCACAAGCTTCCCATGCACTGCCGGTTCTACATTCTATGCGCCACCTCCAGCTTCTTCAGTTGTGGGCATGCTACAAGAAGCAGGAACCCATACTTCTTTACTAAGAAGAGGGTCATTTGGACTCAAAAAATTATATACCAGTGACGATGAACTTGATGAATTAGATTCACCCTTTTCTGCTCTTGGCATTGATGACTCTTCATTTTCATCTAAAGAAAAGTTTGCAGGAATCAAGAGAGGCCGGAAGGTTGTTCGATATGAGTTTTTGCGAGAAGCATGGAAAAGTACTGAATGATGATAGCTTATGTTTCTGTGACTTTTTTTTATTCTGTATATTACAATTTAGCCTAATATAGTCTGTATTCTTTTTTCCCTTTTAATAATGATCTTGGGCCTATAGTCTTGTACATCTTATTCTAATAGTTGCCACGAAATTACTTTTTATAGACATTTCCCTCCAAGACATTCTTGAATGAGAAGTTATTATTTAGTCCGAGTTGGTCACAATTTTATTTCAATATAAGGATACAAGACAAATTTGACTCTTCTAAGGTAAATAACATATTTTAGATTATCATTGGTTTGAAAATTAATTATTAAAATGTGAGAAAATAAATAATGAAATTGTTAAATTTACTTTATTTAAGAATAGTTTAAACCAGTTTTCATTTAATAAAAAAATTAAAAGAAATAAAGGTACTAGTAAGATTTATATATGAATTGTTCTTTTTATCATTGATTTTTTATTTAATAAATCATATATTGTGATCCTTTAATTTCTCATAATTTATTATTATTATTATTATTATTATTATTATTATAGCAATGACTCAGGTATAATTAAAACAATAAATTAAATTAATATCTTTATTAGTTTAAAAATTACTTTATTTTTTAAAAATTAAATTTGATATATTATCTTTTAAGTTTAATTATATTTTTAGTCCCTATAAATGTTGGTAATTTTGTGATAAAATTTTATAAAATTTTTTGTTAAGATCTCGTCCATGTAAAGTTGAAAAATTAAGATTTAGTTCTATTGTTAACTCCCTTTTTATTAAGTGCTGAGTTGACTGACAAAAAGTTAGTTTAGTACTATACGTGATATACTATGTCATTTTTTTTTATTTTAAATTAAGATTTATAAACAAATCTCTAAACTTATTTTATATAATTGCATGAACACTCCTTCCCCCTCTCCTTCTCAACTCTTTTTTTAGCACCTCTCCGCTATCTCTTTCCCCCACCTCCACTTCCTCCTCACACTACCACTCCTCCCTTCCCCCACCCTCACCCCTTTCCCCTTCCTCTTCTTCCCTACACTTTCATCTACACCCGTCCACTCCCCCACCCACTTCCATTCCTCCATCCGCAACAACTTTGATTCCCATTCTCCCATCCACACCACTCCTCCTTCTCATTCCTTACCTTTTTCACACCTTTTCTCCTTCCAATACTCACACTCTCACCCCTATTCGCACCACTCGCTCCTCCACCCCTTCCCATTCTCCCATCCACATCACCATTTTCTCTTTCCTACACTTCTCTCTCTTTAACACCACATTCGCACCACCTCTCTCTCCCACCCACTTCCATTTCTCCATCTGCACTACTCTCCACCCCCACCTCTTCATATATGCACCACACTTCTCTCCCTCCAACCCCACACTTCCACCCACATCCGCACCACCCCTTTTCCTCACCTCTTCCTCACACCCTTCTTTTAACACCCACCCTCAACTCACATTTGTCTTTCCTTTCCCACACACCTCTCCCTCTAACACTCACACTCCTATCCCCATCCGCACAACTTCTCTCCCGTACTTCCTTTCCATTCCTCCCATCTACACCACCATATCTCCTCTCCCTCCCTTTTCCATTTCTCACACCTCCATCACCCCCTCCCCTTCCCTTCCCTTCACTTCAATTCCTTCTCTATTATCCTACTCTCACTCCTTTCCCAATTTGCATCTTCATTTTCAATTCATTCTTCACTTTTTTTTATTAAAATTTTGTTTACGTTTTAGATATTGAGAGGTTGTGTGAAGGTTTTATGGTTGGTGATGGAAAATTAATTTGAAACATATACAAAGATTAAAAATAAATGGTCTAAATATGGGGTGGAGAGAGAGAGAATTTAATATAATAAAAAAAGAAAAAGTGTTGATGATTTCAATTTTGGTAAGGAAACTTTAGAAAAATATCAATTTAATCGTCAAAACATCAATTCTTCATCATGCATTTTTAGAATTTGAATGAGAGACGGGGTGGGAGTAGGGAGGAGGAAGGAGTGGGGGTGGGGAGCCGCGGAAAAGAAAGAAAAAACTTAAAAGGACTTTTTTATAATTATATAAAATATGCTTAGGTTTCTATTTATAAATATATAATTTTATATAATAAAAACTCTAAATGATGTGACATACTACGTGGCGCCACGTAGGTGTGTTGAGCTGACACTCCGTCTGCCAGCTTAGCACTCATGCTAAAGAAAAGATTTTAGTTTTTTTTATGATCATATTTTATTTGTTTAAAGACATCTTATATTTAATAAATAAAGTCATAATAAACACATAAAATTGATCACAAAAAATAACATTTACACAATTTATTGAATCAACTGAAAGAAAAATATTATATTTTAAAAAATAAATAAATTTAAATTCAATGTAATATATATATATATAATGACAATAATAATAACTATTGAATTAAAAAAAATAAAATAATTATAAAATATTTAATTTTAATTATTTCATTAATTTATTATTTTAAATTAACAAATACATGTAAAACTAATAATACTATAAAATTAATATAATATAAATTTTTTTTACTAATACAATAAATTAAAATATATACCTATATATAAAATATAAATTGATAAATTATTTAATAATTTAATTTTTTATTTATGTAAATATTTTTGAATTATTGAATTTCAAATATATGTTAATAACTATAATTAAAATATTAAATATTTTATTTATTTTTTATGATAATTATATTTTGTTTATGTAAAGACATCTTCTATTTAATAAATAAAATCACAGTAAACACATAAAATTGATAACAAAAAATAATACTAACAAAATTTGTTGAATCCGTTAAAAGAAAATTATTATATTTAAATAAAATAGTTATTGTAAAAATTATAGATAAAAAATATTTATATTATAAAATTCAAAGATGCAGAAAAATAACATATTAGTATAAATTTATATTTATATTAAAATAACTTATATTTCTAAACTTTTATCTTAATAAAAAAATATGCACTAAAACTTTATATATATATATATATATATATATATATATATATATATAATGACAATAATAATAACTATTAAATTAAAAAAATAATTTCAAAATATTTAATTTTATTTTCTTCAATTTTATTTTAAATTAACAAATATATGTAAAATTAATTACACTATAACATTAATATAATATAAAAAATATTACTGATACAATATATTAAAATATATATATATATATATATATTATAAATTGATAAATTAATTAATAATTTAATTTTTTATTTATATTTTTTTGTAAATATTTATTAATTATTGAATTTTAAATGTATATTAACAACTATATTTTTTTTAAAATCTATGTCAAATTCGTGAAAAATTATTTAAAATTTGACATTTATATTTAGGTATATTGTTGTGTGTTGTGTATCTGGTATGTAAAAAAATTTTATAGATACTTTACTCAAAAAATTTATACTAATAAAAATAAAATACATATTAAGTTATAAAAAGTATATATTATTATATATAATTTATTTAAAATTATATTATTTATATTATTTACTATATAGTCTTATTATATATATATATATATATATATATTGTATATAAAATTTTTTATTTTATTTTTCTATCATTTTTTAATAAATTTTAGTTTCAAATAAAATATAATTCATATTTAAAGAATTTTTATTTATTATAAAGAAAAATAATTAAACATAATATATTAATATAATAATTAAATAGTAATAATAATAAAATTAAGAATATAAAAATATATTAATATAATATTATTATTTTACTTTTTAATTTTATTTCGTTCAGTTTTGATTGCATCTTGTTCCTGTTCAAAGATTTAACCACTCTTTAACTTATTTAAATATAACAAATATGATAATTTATTATTAAATAAGTTTATTATTTAAAAAGTGTAATTGTGTATAAATATTTTTAATTTTTAATAGAATATAATTTATATTTATTATAATTATAAATAAAAAGAATTATAACATAATATATTAATTTAATATAACAAAATTAAAAATTTATTATTAAATAACTTTATTATTTAAATATATTTTGACAACTATATTTTTAAATTATATATATATATATCGGTCTGTCAGACTTAACAGGTTTTGAAAACAACTCAGCCCTGATTTGTTTACTTAAACAGACCTTAAAAAAAGCCTAAGTCACGTTTGTTTATTAAAAAAACTAGGTCAAGTCAAGCCTAAATCAGGCCAGGCTGCAGGCTCTTGTCAGGCGGTTTGGCTTGTTTCCATCCCTAATTGTGAGCAAGATTGAAAGTTGTGGTTGAGGTTGGGGCGTTTGGAGGTAAGTTCCAACAGTTAAGATTTTGATTTTTCGTCCCTCTTCTTGATTTCTCAGTTTCTCATGGAGTTTTCAATGTGTTTAGGATAAAAATCTGTTTGGGGAGCACGTTTATCATTGATTTTGTGTTTGGGTCTTCAATTTGAGGTAAAGGGACTTTATCCTGTCTCCTTGTGTCTTTAATATGTTTATATTGATAATTAATGTAAGATAGAATGTAGGAATAGGCGTGTTTTGATATAAGATTCTTGATTGAACATTGTTCATGTGCGTGATGGAATGACTTGACTATGGTAGGGTTTCTATAAAAATTGGATGTTGGGTGTGATGTAATTGAATATGGGCCTACGTGCCATGTGTGAAAGTGAATATTGTAATGTGATTGAGATTGTGGGTGAAACTATGTGTTAGCATGCCATCACTTGATGCGAAATAATTGAATGGTTGGAAATGTACGTGAATGGTATATTGATGTTGATTGTGATTGTGTTTGAATATGTTGGAAAGCTATAAATGGTTCAGCGATACACTGGAAGTGTGGAAGATAGGGGTGATAGAAATACCTTAGGGAAGAGAGGGTGGTGGTGACACCAACAGTAAGTGTGGGTGCACCACAAGTCACACGCTCTCTTCCTGACTCATCCTGTGACCACATATGTTGTATTCATGAAGTAGGAGTTATCCGACAACTATCTATAATGGGAAACTGAGTAAGTCCCTGAGGTTGAGGGCATCAAAAAAACTGTAATCACGGATAGGGTAGTAACATAGTACATGATAAAAGTCACTATTTTATTTGGAAACTCAAAGTTTAGAAGAGTACGTCTTAAGAATCCCCCAATTAATATTATCATAAGTCTTTTCTAGGTCTAATTTAAAAGTAACATTCTTTTTTTCTCCTATTGGACTTTTGTATCATATAAAGAATTTTTTGCAAAATAATTAAGTTGTCCATAGTATCCTGACCTCGAAAGAAACTACTTTGAAAAGGCTCAATAAAGTTATTAAGAATAGGTCTTAATCTATTAACAAGTACTTTTGTAATGATTTTATAAATGACATTGCAAAGGCTAATAAGTCAGAATTCTTTAAAATTGCTAGGACAATCCACTTTTGGAATGAGAGATATAAGAGTCTCAAAGAGCTTGCTATCAAAAATGTCTTTCTCAAAAGCATCACTAACTAGTTTGTTTATATCGCTACTCACTTCATGTCAGTGTTGTTTGCAAAAGATTGCTTGAATCTCATCAGGCTTAGGAGCCTTGTAAGGTTCATATCATAGAAAGCCATGAAAACCTAGTCTTTCGTTATAGGCTACTCCAAGTTAAGAGTGTCACCATGTGTGATTGTTGGATATTATCTAAATGAAATGGTACATCTATGACATTAGACCGATAGTAAAAAAGATTCACAAAAAACCTATGAGCTTCTTCATTCAAAATAGAATCATCAAAACACCATATGTCATTAGGTAGAGTGAGACAATGAATTTTATTCCTTCTCCTTCTAATCATAGTTTAGACATAAAAAAAATAGGGTGTTACGGTCCTTCAAACTTAATTCAATTTTTTTTGGACTTTTGACACTATAAAAGTTCATCCCGTAAAAGAATTTTGTTGTACTCATATTTTAATTGTCTTTTGAGATTAGTAAAGTAAGTTGAGTCAACCCTCTCTAACCACCTTTGAATCCTTCTAATTCTAACTTTAATGTTTTTCTTGTTCTGAGTAATATTACCAAAAGTCTCATCGTTGAATATGATAGAATAATCTCTAAACCTTTGAAGCGATAAGAAGGGATATCCCTCACCTTCTTTCCAAACCTTAGAAATAACTGAAATGTAGTCTTTGTAAACTATCCAAGTTACTTGAAAGTGTAAAGGTTGGAGTCCAAGTACTTATGGAAGGCCACTACACCTTAACAAGAGGGAACTATAATTTGAGTGCAAAAGAGTAAATATTTCTGCAAAGGCTTTTGAAAAGCTTCTTAACTAAAGTAAATTTGTCACATCTCTACCTAATCTTCTTGAAAGAACTTGTTAACTATTATGATTCATATGTCAAGTGAATACGAAACTTAATAAAAAAATATTGGTTAGGCCACACTCATTAAGTCTGGTACTAGACACCAAAGTCTTATTATATGAATAAAACTCACTTTTTTGCTCATGCTACGTCTCTTAAGGTTGTCCACGTCTCTTCAATTGCACCTCCATGGACTAGAAGAATTGATATGAATACCCTTTAAAGTTATCCACATCTCTTCTCTTTCGGTTGTCGTAGTGCTGACATAAACAAAAGTGCAATGTCATTCTTTGTCTATTATCAAATTTAATGTTAATAAAATGAAAATTAATATGAGTGATCATAAGGATGAACTAATTATTTTCTTAAACAAGAACCCTTAAATCACCTGAGTATCCATTAGTCACAAGCCACTCTATGTGCATCATCATCATCCTTATTTTTTGCAACCATTACAATAGCATAATTATCTCTCTCCATGATTTTTTCATTATCATTATTATATTTATTATTTGCAATCATTTTAATTTTCATGTTTGCCCTTTGTTGTATCATTCCATCAACCGTTTCATCCGCTACCTTTGGTGCGACAATGGAGGCAATGCAATCCCTTGCATTAACTAGTGACCCTTGAACCAAACTTTTTCCACCACAAGTTGGGCCAAATCCAACTCCACAAAAATCCTAGCAAATTTTCCCCGTTCCACATTCAACGTATTATTGTCAACACGAATGATTTTGATGAATAGGAAAATGAACTTTGAAAATCAATTCAAATTTAGACCCAAAAAATGAATCTATGCATGAATCTATGCCAATGTACAAGTGATTTTGGCAAACAAAAAAACAAACTTCAAAAACCAGTTCGTAACAATGAGGTAGTGATTAAAGATCATCCAAAATCATTAATTGATTATCATCTAAAATCTATTGGGCACATCTATGATGTCAAAGTCTCCAATAAGCTTTCACAAGCCATATGCATCCTTCATTACATTGAACCCTACAGATTAAACTAACAATTTAATTACTAAGGCATCTTCCTATAACTAGCATAATTCATAAAACAATTCATCATCATCATGTACCTTTGGCTTTAGTCTATTACCTTTTCTAATTTTACATAGACAAGTTTTTGCTCTGGTAAATTCATCTTTGCTCATGGTGAGAGTGAAATTTTGACTCCTATAACCTTGTCTCTAAATGATATCATTAAAGGTTTCATCGTAAAATCACTGTCCTATAGTTTCTTTGGTGGTATTTTAGCCATAAAAACAATGTTTTCCATCAAGCTAAAAAGCAAGTCAGGGTAATACAATTTTGTTATTTTTGTTCTGCCAAAGTCACACAGTCCTTCTCCCTATTTTGGATTCTTGAAAATCCAATATTGTTCTTATTTTACCAAACATCATCGTAGGACCTTTAGAGGTTGGTTTCATCTACCAAAGGTCGATGCATAACATCTTTATAGAAGATGATGACGTGTGAAATTATTTTGATAACGTAAAACTTCTAAAAATTCCAAAATTAATTTTCTTCTCCATGTGTTTTTAATTTTGTACAATCCTTCCAAAACATGTCACAACATTGTCGTCTTTAATTTTGTCTGCGTTGCTGCTTGCAGAAACCCTCGTCATGTGATATTAGTTATTTTTTCCTAAACTTTAGGACCCTAAACTTTTAAGTGATTATCACGATTTGTAAAGTTTAGATATTGTTATTTCTATCATTAATTTTTTTTTATCAATAGAACATAATTATAATCCTTTAATTTCTTATAATTTGTATAAATTTATCATTATATATATATATATATATATATATATATCAATGATGATTTAGGTATAATTAAAATAATAAACTAAATTAATATATTTATTAGTTCAAAAAATATTCTATTTTTTAAAATATTATTATACAACAAATTATCTTTTAACAATTTGATGTATGATAAATTAATTTAGATGATACTTGGGCAGCTTACTCTCATATTCAGTATTTTTCTCTTTTGATGTTGTTAAAGAAGGCATCCATATTAGAACTAAGCGATTAATAATTAATAAATGTATTCACTTCAATTAATTTAATGCAGTTTACATAGTTACATAGTTGTGATTTGAATGAACTAAATTAATGTCTATACATGCTATTCTGTTACTAATTAATGTCTATACATGCTATTCTGTTACTAAATGAATTCTTTAGGAATAAATGAACTGCTACTGTCATCATGCAGCAAACTAGTGTTTATGTAATTTATCATAATATAAATTTAACAAAATTTTATAATAATAAAAAAATTCTTTTAATAAGTTTGATTTAACTCTAAAAGGTACAGGGTGCGGTAACATTAAAGAAAAGTAAAAAAAAAAGTGAGAATATTTACTAATGTTTGCAAACGATTAGTAAATATTTAACTCAAATTTAATATGATCTCCAAAGAGATATGTTACTTTTATTAATTCAAACGATTATGTTTAATTTAAAAATTATGTGAACAATTTTAGCACAATCTTGTACAAATTTTAACATGATTGCATATATAATTTATGATCTTGTACAATTTTTAACATGATCACATGTATAATTTTGTAATTTTTTACCTTTTTTATTATTATTATTTTTCTTTAAAATAAATTTTTTTAGCATTGATTTTTTTATACACTTATGTGAATACAAATAGAATAGAACTGCTCAAATTCTAATTTTTCATGTACAAGAACACCAATCCTTTGAATTTTCTATCAATTTCCAAGAGAAATAATTACTAGTTTTAGAAAGAAAAAAAAATAGTCTAAATATCCACAGAAACTATGAATGAATAAGCTCCACATGCTTGTACGAAAAAGATAAGGCCTAAACCTAACATAACCTTATAAAATTGCACAGTCCCTCCCCCTCTCTCCCTTGCACAAAAGTGCACAGTTTTGAAATATTTGTTTTTGAAAAGAAAAACTAAATTTATTTTTGTTTCATCTAATATAAATAAAAAAACATGTAATAAAAAATTATAAAATTTAATATAACTTAATAAATTGATATTTTTAATATTATAATTTTAATAAAAATTACTATTTTTATTATATTTTTTACATATTAAAAAACATATTCATTATTATAATTTTTAATATTTAAATTATATTAAAGTAATTAATTCTGTTAACTATATTATATTTAAAAAAGTGATAACATACGTTATTATATTCCAATAAAACATATGTACTTGTGCTTAACATATTTAAGAGTGTTCCGCTTCACCCGTTTCAACTATCTTCATATCTGAAACTGAAACATGTTCAGTGGTCCTTCTTCCCCACCCAAATGGTCTGCTCCATTCTGTGCCTGCGGAGTCGACCCTAAAACTTGTACGATCTGTTTATATAAAGTTTTATGTCTATAAACCATCCTAATTACTAAATAAAATTTATTGATATTTCTCATGTTTTTAAGATTTTATATGTATATATAACCCTTTTTTTAAGTAAAAAGAGGATTGTTAAAAGATTTATAAAAAAATTGAATGATAACAATAATAATGAAAAAAAATTAAATAGTATTTAATTATGTTCATGTATTCTATAAATATATATTATGTTAGTTATAATGTATATAAATAAATTATTGAATGATGAAAGAGTAGTTGTAATGGTAAGTTTAGAAGCATCTTACATTCTTTCCCATGCTAACAAAAAAGATTTGAATAGTGTAAGGCATTAATTGATGGTTGAATTGTATATCTCTAAACTTATGGAAATAATTAAAGGTAATTAATAATGCAGGTTTGATAACTTGCTGTCTACCGTGCATCACCTTTGGCCAAATCGCAGAAGTTGTGGATGAAGGGCGTAGCTGTAAGATCGATGAATAAAAGAAAATATTGATACTAATTTAGTTTGATATGTGATAGCTAATATCTTTGATGGGTTTGAACAGCTTGCGTTGGACAAGGGTGTGCCTATGGGTTACTCATGTTGGTTGCGTGTCACTGGCTCTACTCGTGCCTTTACAGAGAGAAACTGAGGGCAAAGTTTGGGTTACCAGCAGAACCTTGTTGTGATTGCTGTGTTCATTGCTGCTGCGATGTTTGTGGCTTATGCCAAGAACATGCCGAGCTTAAAGCAAGAGGCTTTCACCCTTCCAAAGGTATATATACCCTACATCTTTATATTTTATCACATTTTTCACAAGAAAAGTTGCATGACGACTCCTTCATATTTTGTTTATATCTTTTGTACAAAAATAGAATAATAAAATCCAGATTCTAACGATATTGCACAAAAATATTTGCAGGTTGGATTGGGCCATCAAATGCTCCTCCTCCAATGCCTCCTTCTATGATTAGATGATCCATCTGCCTCGACCCAGAATTAACAACAAAATCGTGTTATCATACTGGTCTCTGTTTTTCTTCCTGCAACTCTGTTGAAAGTGTTGTCCTTGCTCATGAACTTTATGAGATATATTTGAATTGAGATGATGAATATTATCATAAATTTCCTAGCGTTTGCTCTTCCAATTGTTTCAATTGATCTTAAATTAGCAGTGTTAAACAAATTTATATTAAGAAAAATGTAAGGTATCCTGAATACCTTTATCAAAAATTTTGCTGGAATGTTATGGCAATTATTGTATTGAATAATCTTTGACGAGTAAGTGAAACTTTTATCTAATAATTTGTAAAATTTTGGCTGTTTGGTCTGTACATTACTACTCTTATTTTATATATTTGATTTATTTAAAAAGTGTGATTCAACTGATATGCTATACAGGTAACTAATAACTAAAGTGCATTAATAAAACAAGCCTGAAATACTAATATCAGTAAGAAATTGTTTATTGCACATTAACTTGTATTAATTTAATTACAAATTAAATTGCTAATGAGTTGGATTAAATACATAAAATTTTATATGATTTTAAATGCAATTTATACTTATTGCATTTCTTTAATTTAATGTACAATTATCTTTTTAAAAGAAATAAACTAATGTCATTAATTTCATATCTATATAACCAATGAGAAGTTAATTTAAGATATACATGTATGATTTTCTCAGATAAGATCTTATATTTGAGTTTCTTATATAATTTCTTTTTCTATATAAAGAGTTAATATATTTTAGTATATTATAAATATTTTAAATTTAAATAAAATCATCTCTTATAAAAATACCTATAATCTTAAACTAATTTTTGTATAATTATTAATGTTTAATTTATTTAAAATTGACATGTCCGCCCCTCAAATTGACATAAGAGCGCAGTTTCCATAGAACTTTCTCAAAAAAACCCTAAGAATCATAATAAAGAAGCGTCAATGTCATCGCAACTTAGAGGACAGGTATTGCTAACTGATGAAATCTCAGCTAATGCTTCCAAGAGCTCCCACAACTCGCATCCTTCCAATCCTTCAGTGGAGGTGGAGAAGTGAATGGTTGCTACAAATTGTGATGATGAGGTAATGGCATCGAAGTTACTAGACATTGGCAAGAAGGTTGGTTTGGTTGTACATGGGAATGATGAGCAGGTTCGAGAGAAATTGATTGAGATGGAGGTACGTGATAGAACGATTGCGAAAGAATATGGGGTTCGCTTTGATACTAAATGAAGATTGGCTCATTTAATTGTAGAGGGTTGGGGAGTGCAGTAAAACAAAAGAAGGTGTGTGAGATTGTTCGCTCTGAAGGTCTGGAGTTTTTGGCGATTCAGGAAACAAAACTTGAAATATGTAATAGTAATTTATGTACGCATTTGTGGGGTTCTGTGAATTTTGATTGGTGTGCCTTGCCTTCCATTGGCAGAAGTGGGGGTATGCTTTCACTTTGGGATACTTCCAAATGTAAAATACTTTTCTCCTTTTCTGGTACTGAATTCCTGGGTGTTTGCTTGCAGGCATTGGCTACTGAAAACCTATGTGTTGTGGTGAATGTCTATGCATCGTGTAGACTAAGTGAGAAGAGAAAGTTATGGGATGATTTGCTCATGACAAGAAGGGGTCTTGGCAAATTTATGTGGTGTATATTGGGTGACTTCAATGCTGTGAGACAAGTGACAGAGAGGAAGGGTTGTCAGGCAGACTATGGTATCTCTGAAATGGAGGGCTTCAATTCTTTCATTCAGGAAATGGAACTTGTGGATCTTCCACTTGTGGGTAAAAAATTTACATGGATAAAAGGGGATGCTTTTATGATGAGCAGGCTGGAGAGTCCTTGTTTCTAGTTCCTGGCTTGATTACTGGGGAGATGGTTTTATTCAGGTTCTGAGCAGAGATGTGTCTGATCATTGTCCTATTATTCTTAAGCACAAAGTGGTTAACTGGGGTCTGAAGCCGTTTCGATTTAATAATTGTTGGCTGACTCATAAAGAAGTTGTGGAGGTGCTAGCTAGAGGTTAAGGAATGTTAAGATTGCATTGAAAAAAATGGAATATTGAGGTATTTGGAAATGTTGATAAGGTGATCTCTGATTTGACAACTGAGTTGAGCTTGATTGATGATAAAAATTCTGTGATAGAACTTTTCAATGTGGAGAAGAAGCGTCAACAAATATTGGTGGGTGATATTTGGAAGGCTAGGAAGAATAGAGAGAGTCTCATAGCCCAAAAAGCTCAGGTGAAATGGGGGAAAGAGGGTGATTTAAATACAAAGTTCTTTCATTTATGTGTTAATGGGAGGCGGCGATGAAATAATATACATGCGCTCCAAATTGGAGAGAGATGTGTCGAAGCGGTTAATGAGATTAAAACAGGTGTGGTGTCCTATTTTGCGGCTCATTTTAGTAGTAGAAGTTGGCTTCGACCTACTATTGATATTAATAATTTACCAAGAGTCTCTGTTCTACAGAATGAGGAGCTTGTTAATGCTTTTTCGAAGGAGGAAGTGGGAAAGATGATTTTGGAGTGTGAGGGTGATAAAAGTCTGGGGCCTGATGGTTTCAATTTTGTGTTCCTTAAGAGGTTTTGGGGAGTGATCAAGGAAGAAGTGATGGGTATGCTTACTGAATTTTGTAGAAATAGGAAGCTACCTAGGTCTTTATTATTTTATTTTGTAGCACTTGTGCCAAAAGTGTCTTGCCCATAACAGCTATCTGATTTTCGGCCTATCTCATTATTAGGTTGTCTTTATAAGATTGTTTTCAAGCTTTTGGCAAATAGGTTGAAAGGAGTTTTGGATTCAATAATTTTAGAAGAACAATCAGCCTTTATCCCGGGAAGGAACATGTTAGATAGTTTACTTGTGGCTAATGAAGCAGTTGATTATGTGCGGAGGTATAATAAGAGGTGTTTTGTGTTAAAGCTTGATTATGAGAAGGCGTATGATTCGATAGAGTGGGGATATCTTTTGTTTATGTTACGTAACTTTGGATTTTCAGACAAATGGGTCAGTTGGATGGAAGCTTGTGTGTGTGGGGGAAGCCTATCAGCTTTGATTAATGGTTGTCCTACATTGGAGGTTCATATTGAGTGGGGCCTAAAACAGGGGGATCCTCTTACCTCTTTTCTTTTTCTTGTGGCAGCGGAAGGGTTAGGAGTTCTTATGCGAAAGGCAGTGACTTGTGGGTTGTTCTCTGGTGTGACGATTGGGGAAGGGGGACCAGATATTTCTTTGCTGCAGTTTGCGGATGACACATTGATTATGGGAGAGGCTTCGGTGCAGAATTTGTGGACTTTGAAAGCAGTATTGTGTAGCTTTGAATTAATGTCAGGTATGAAAATTAACTTCCATAAATATTTTGTATTGGGGATTAACACTGGTGATAACTTTGAAAACTTGGCTGCGGAGTTTCTACATTGTAAAATTAGTAGTTTCCCATTAAAGTATCTCGGGTTACAGTTAGGTGTTAACCCGAGAAAGCCTAGTGCATGGAAGGGTATGTTAAAGGCTCTTAAAAAGCGGTTAGCGTCATGGAAGCATAGGTATTTATCGATTGGAGGTAGGGTGACTTTGATTAATGTCATTCTTAATTCTATGCCATTGCACTCGTTATCCTTTTTTAAGGTGCCGAAGTCGGTAATAAAGGAAATTATCACTATCCAACGGAATTTTTTATGGAAGGGTGTTAAGGATGGATCTAAAATCTCCTGGGTGAAATGGAAAACTGTATGTAGACCGCGGAAGAATGGTGGCATGGGCATTAAGAATGTGCAGTGGTTTAATTGGGCGCTTCTTGGTAAATGGTTGTGGCGAGGTGTTAACTGTTCTAGTTGTGGGTGCGGGTGTTGGAATCTAGATATGAAAGATTAGCTTCTTCTCTTTAGCGTTCATCAGTTCACAACAGATGTTCTGTGTGGTGGCGTGATTTGCTGGAGGTTATTCATCAAGGGAATTCATGGCTGAATGAGAAGTTTGATAGAAGTGTGGGTGTAGGTTTACACACTCTTTTTTGGAGAGATAAGTGGGTAGGAGGGGTGCGATTGTGTGAAACATTTCCGCGATAATTTGCAGTAGCGAGAAATGCTGAATCACGTGTATTGGAGAATGGTTTTCATGATGGCACTAGATGGGTTTGGAATGTTAGTTGGCGAAGAGGACTCTTTCAACATGAGATCTCGAGCTTTAATCTTTTGTTGGAGCTTGTGGATGGAGTTTCTATTAAGTTACTACAAGAAGATAAATGGGTATGGAGGGCAGATTCTTCAGGTTGTTATTCAGTGCAATCTGTGTATATATGACTATTTGAACTTTTTGATGGTCCTAATAGTGTAGATCAGTGTACGGCAGATGCCTTGCAAAGGCTATGGAGAGGGAAAGTCCCTCTTAAGTGTCTGGTTTTTTCTTAGCAATTGTTGTTGAATGCATTTCCTTGTAAATGTTTACTGATTGATCGTGGTATTCAAATTGATGATATAACTTGTTGTTTCTGTCATGGTTTGGAGGAACTTCCAACTCATTTATTTTTAACGTACTCAGTTTCATCTCAAATCTGGTACTTTACTGCGCGTTGGCTTGGATTCTCACTGGTTTTGCCTTCAAATTTATCGACTCACTTGCTTTCTTGGGTTGGTGTTGGTTGTAGTAAAAGAGAAGGAATATACTTATTAATTATTTGGGTAAGTACAGTGTGGTCTTTGTGGTTGCATAGAAATATAATTATATTTTCCAATGGTGTTTTGGATGAGAGGGAAGTCCTAGATTCTATTATTCTGAGATCCTGGAAATGGTTATCACTTGTTAGTAAGGGAGAAGCTATTATGTTAGCTGATTGGTATTTGAACTCACGAAATTGTATCTGTCTTAATTTTGCATAAGTATATTTTTGCTTTTTATTTCTCTGAGTAAGTAATTTTTTGTGTATATGGGTTTTGAGTTCCCCTTAAACTCTTTTTAATAAGATTTGTTTTGCCTATT